TACCAAAAAAAGAGAATTGGAACATTTAAAACCACTTCACAAATTCTTTATAAAATGATGTAATGTACAGTTAGTTATTCTGATATGAAACTTGCATTTTTAGTCTTTCAACAGACACAATTATTGTGTATCAGTGTTTGCGAAGATTTCACAATGTTGTGTCTAGACTACCATAAATCAAAGCATAATGCAAAACATCAGATTGTATTTAATTGTAAAACTATCAAAACACACTGATGTTGACACGTTCATCAGTGCTGCCAACATGTGGAATCTTAAACTTTACTCTCAATTAAACCTTTACTCTGAACCCATCTGCCACTCTGCCTGCACACTATAACAAACGTTTTATTTTATTACAAATATATATTTCTGTACTTTCTATTCATTGAAACAGGATAAAGAAAAAACTGACACACCTCACAAATGTAACAGTTGACATGAAAACTGCGATCCAGTGCCACTATCCTGACTGTCTCCTCCTGACCCGGTTCAGGCATGATGGGCTCACCACACACTGAGCATCGTGGAGCGTATTTTCTGTTGGTAACAATGTAATTTGAAGTTTTTAGATGACATTTATGTCTGTTTCATTTCTGTATAGTATATTTGGCATGTAGATTTAGTACCTGTGAAAATCATCTATGCAGTGTATCTGAGAGGTGGCATCAACAGTGAAGGGAACTCCGTCCAAACAGCAGTTGCACACCACACATGTGAAACAGCGAGGATGGTAGGCTTTCCCCATGGCCCGTAGGATGCGGTCCAGGATGGGTTTGGAGCATTTTGAACATCGCTCTAATGTGCTCTACTCACATTTATAGGAAAAAAAATCTATCAGCGTACCTCACACAAAACTATGACAACCGTATAATGTGGTGTTGCATCTTTCACTTACAATGTAACAACTCTCACAGTAACTCCTTTTGTCCAGGGCATAGAAGGGTTGGCCTCGCAGACGAGCATGGCAGGTGATACAAGTGAAACACTCGACGTGAAACACCTGCTCCATGGCGATACAACCGCTGCCATCGCCCACCACGTTGTCTCCGCAGCGGGCACAACGACCTGGAATGAAAGCATCAAATTTTAGATGTGGCAAGAATGTAAGATTTTTTAAATTGTATTAATCAGTCAATAAACTCATTACTGCAGCATCTGACATGAAAACATTGCTAACTTGACATGAAAAAACAGTGTTTCCCAAACATTTTTCTAGCCGCAGCACATATTTTACATCAGATAAATCTCAAGCCACACCACCAGACGTAAGTGGCAGGAATATACTTGGTATTAGACCCTGGCCTGTTTAGTTGAACATTGTATTTGTTTGAATATCAAAGTTGGTGCTGCTCCGTCCCCTGACTTCTTTTCCATATCTCAAACAACTCCATTATAAATATGGCATTTTACTTTTTAATGTAACAAGATAGGACCATACCAAAATAGTCCTCTGCAGGTGGGTGGTTCATATCGTACACCAATTTCTTGGTGAGTCTTTCCAGTTCCTCCTCTGGCCTTGTTGTTGCTGCAACTTGCTAAAAACAAACAAACAGAAGTGTAAATATCCTTCAATATCAATCAGAATATTTTAAATTGTATTTTTTCTTGAAAAGTTTGCATCCAATATCTTGAAGATACATTATAAAATTAACTAAAAATTAGGTTAAAAAATAGAAATGTATCAGGCAAGGCTTTTCCCATACAATGTTTTACTAATGCACAAAGAAGTTGATCTAACAAGTGTTAGTTCAGAAAAATTCTAAAACACCCAATTTGCATGTCATTGTCACTTCAACCACACTGCCATGTTAAGATAGAAACTCTTACCTTGCTGGACTGATAAGCAGAACTCTGCAAAGCTCCTGCTCCAGTCTGAGTGTCCATCCCTCTCTTGGTGACAGGGACATGGTTGGCACGTCCTCCAGACCCTGTGCTGCCCCCCTTGAACCCAGCCTCAGTGTGCAAATCTTGACCTTGTGAACCAGGGTGTTGAGGGTACCAACCCTGAGCACTGAGTGTCTGAGCCTGAGGTTGGGCCCGTGACACGTGCTGACGAGGGGGAGGAGGGGTGTAGGCCTGTTCAGCCTGCCTCCCGGTCTGGGAGTAGGTGACGGGCTGTGCTGTTTTGACCTGGACACTGAACCTGGGGCCGGTTGGAGTCGAGGCAGTGGTGTAAGAGGCTGGGACAGGCTGGGGGTAGGGCTTGGGTGTTGAGGTGTAGTAGTCCTGCTGGTGGGAGGCAGTGTACTGAGATGATTGATGTTCACTGGGGTAGGGTGGAGCAGGTGTAGGGTGGTACTGGCTCTGAGGGTGAGGAGGGTAGCCCATGGTAGGGCGACCCTGAGGAGGAGCTGCAATCTGGTGAGAGGGCTTGTAGTGGTCCCCTGAGATGTACGTGGCGTAAGGCACATTATCGTACAGCTGCAGAGAGATTGATTAAAGAGTAAAACTTTTGTCAATATCAGAGATTTTCTGAGATTTTTTCAGAGAGATTTCCTACTTGTGTGCTTGAGTCCTGTGGGTGGCTGTCCAGATCAGCCAACATACTGGTGAGGGAATCAATGTCAGCGTCAATTTTGGAGTGATAGTTCATTTGCTTTTCAGGTCCTCGATGCTAATGTTGGTATTAAAAGAAAAAGTACACCAATAAATAAATTAGATCATAAAAATATACAATTACATCTGCTGGTATGGATTCAAATGCATGCCCACCATGTGTTCATAACTGTCCAGATGGGGGCTCCAGTGTCGATCTTCTTTAGATCCATGAGAAGGAGAATAATAATGATCACTAGCCGAATGGTGAACAGCTCCACCTGTCAATATATATTACAGCTCATTCATTTTTTTTAATTCATGTTAATGCCTGAAATTCTACTTTGTTTCCACACATCATAATAAAAAAGTAAATAACTTGATCAAAATACCAATTTATTGTCAGGTTTAAACATGACTAGTGGGATTTATTATTTTTGAACATATACTGAACATAATTTCCTTCCATTTGTGTCTGAGTCTATTTACAGAAGCTCAGCAAAACAACACAGTGAGAAAATGTTAGTCAAGTATTTGTGCAATGACATCATTACATGTCTAATCATGACAATGCATTCACTTTAAGTGAAGTAAATGCCCAATTCCCATCAGTCCCAGATTCCAGTTTGTGGCTTACGCCATTGTCTTACCTGTGGGTCCAGTGGCCATGTACCTGTTGCCCATCTCTCCAGCTCCACCACTTCCTCCATTTTGGTCATATGGACCATATTTTGGCCTAAATTCAGACACGCCCTTCTTGTTGGGGACTCGGTAAATCGCTGACCCAGCAGTGTGCGACATCTGAGGCACTGCTCGTTCTTTGCTGTCCAGAGTCCTTGGTGGAAGCCAAGTGGGACCGGACATATCAGGTGTCTGAGTTCAGAAAGCAAAAAATTGCTGTCATTAAATGGAATTCACAAGATTGGACATTTTCATCTCTTCAGACATAATTTATACAAACAGAATTGATGCTACTTTGTAACCAATGGAAACTACAGGATGCTTCAGACTTTGTTTCCTATGGCAACGGGAGACACACAGTTGGAACAATAGGTTTCAACTTGGGAAGCAGGAAGAGAGCAGCCACCCTGAAAGGCGAGGGGATTTCCAGCAGACTCGGAAATCGACCCTCTGAAAAAACTGGGAGAGTATGGCTTTGTGTGTGTTTGTGCGCACGTGTGTGTGGTTGTAGAAACAAACACTAGAACACTGATGTTTAGTTGACACTAATACAAACACACAAACAGGTGCTAATGTGTTGTCGTCCTCCTCCTCCTCCTCCTCCTTCATATGCACCACAATTGTTATTGTCAATGTGTGTTTACACAACAGTGTTATTAATTTCCACACAAAAAAGGGAAAAAAACAAGACAGGAAACGTTGCATAACGGATATGCGTTTGTGTACATACGACCACCTGGATCACAACAATATTGTGTGTTCCCTGTGTGGGACAAATATCAACTCTGAAGCACACAGCTGAACTGGAGACAACATGCTCTCTTGTATATGAGAAACAAATTCATAGCAATCAATTTTCAGCAAAGGATTTGGAACATTTCCGAGGATGACAACCAGACTATACTGTTGCTGTGGAAATTTTACACAGCTACTGGTGCACAGAGACAAATCCAGTGGAACCTCAGAGAATTAAAATGCTTACTTTAACTGATTTAATGTGGGTCATTCGTCTGACTTTAATCTTTGCTGGTAAGAGGATTACGATGATGGATGACAGAAGAATAGTGAATACTATTTATTTCAATAGTAATATAAAATATACACGTATAGTTTCCTATTCATTTACTTAAATGCCCCTAATTTGCTCTTTTATTTTGTACTGCATTAATGCATCTTATATGTAGACATAAGATTGCGCAGCAATCGCTTAATGAGACATAAAAAATAAAGAGTAAATTATAAATTATCTCACCTTTAATCATCAATAGATGATTATGAGGAAATAATAATAACGATAGTAATGACAATGGGTACATTTTGTTGCTAGATTTTATTTTAATTTTACATATAAATTACACCATAATAAAAGTTACAACTTTTTAAAATTTAATTGCAAACAAACATTCCAATTTTTAAACATTTCTTAATAATCAAACTATGCTGTTATAACACAATGCACAAAATAAAGTATCAAATGATGTTTGGGATTAAAATTTTAGCGAACCGGAATAAACAAAGAGCACATCCGGTCTTTCAAAATAAGGTAAATTGCGCTAACACATTTGATAAAAGACAAAGACAACAAAATTAAATTTGAAGAAATGGGGCAAACATGAATTAATTTTAAATAATTTATACGTAAACCACCGTTAACATAAACCTTTTTTAACCTGTGCTTTTATTTTAAAGATGGCCAGCTGTGGTTATAAGATATGGTACATAACGTATTCTATATTTAGCCAGACATGTCTGATTATGGCTTATTTTCCAAAGAAAGGGGCAAAATTGTGAATCAAAAAGGGATTCCAGAAATTAAATCAAATGTACTAATAATAATAAACACAAAATGCTACCGATGATAGCTGTTAGCATCTCCTACCGTTTACAGTTCCTTCACAGCTGTTCCCCTTCGCATCTCATCTGTACAACAAGAGTAAAAAATCAAAAGAGCTCCACAATAACAGAGAACATACATTTAATACCACTACTTTTTTGGTTTTTGTAACTCCAATATTAGTTACGCACAGTTGCAATGATATTTCATACAAACCAACAGAAAAAATGCAACTCAGATTTCGCCAATGTATTCCTTTGTGCGTCACTTAATGTTTTAAAAAACATACAGTTAAAATAGTAACATAGAACACACTGCGGGCTCGTTGATAGTCATTGTTAATGCTAATTATAATCATTCTGACAAGTTTGTTAGCCTGTTGTTAAATGGAGCACTGGTCCAGGGCTTAAACTTTACCACAACGACCGACACGAATGCAGCAGTAGACGGTCGAAAAAAGCGACATCTGCCGCCTGGACATAGCCGAACAAAGAGGGTGAAAATCTCAGTCCTAACGCTCACAGCCCAGAGCAAGTTGTACCGAAATAACGTGGCATTAGTGTAAGAGTCGTTCGCCTACTTTATCACGGATCCAGAGGCCTTTAGCAGCAGCAGCACCAACAGCAGCTCCAGTCCTCACTGCATTCTCCATGTGTGACGTAGTAGTGTGTGTATAAGTGAGTGAGTGAGTGTGAGTGTGTGTGTGTGTGTGTGTGTGTACTAGTATTACCATGTTTTGGGGACAAAAGAAAAAGGAAATATCCACTTAAAAACAACCTATAGACAGATGACAAAGACTTAAAGCAGATGATTGGGTTAAATATGGGTCATTACAAATTGGGGAAGAAAGGAAGTGGCATAAAAACCCAAAGAACAACTTGACAACTATTTTTCCGACCACAGTTTTTTTTCCTTAGTGCATTATAAAATACTTTAATTTAATAATTTCCTTTGTTTTAAGTCCTGATATCAGTCTGGAATCTAACCCTCAACCTTCCAAGTGTTAGACATCTGCACTACCCTCATAGTATGGGTACTTGAAGAGTATTTTGTAAGACGTTGTCTTACAAGTGTAAGAGTACCAAATGTAGTAAATAAAACTACACATAACAAGAATACTGTGAATGCATAAACTGCACCAACCCAGTATGTGTTTACTCAATGTCTAATGATCATTGTTGTGTTGAACATAAACATTGTTTAGTGTTAGACTTGTGTAGTGATTTTGTTTGTTTTTTCTCCATATTTAGCAATCGTCTACCATCCACTGGTTTATTTAGCGGTTTGTTAAATTTGGGTCAACCGTCTCCTTTTCCATTAAGGCCCCATTCACTTTCATCTTCCTTCTGTCCTTAGCTCCACCCAGCACCTTGTCAGAGCCCCACTACTCTCCCTGAGGGGCTTATTGTGAACAACTGTCAATGATCATTTCAAGGTTCTGTCCAACAAGTGGACAAACAACCATGGCAGCTCCCTCCCTGGGATATCCCCACATCCTCCTCCCCATTCTCCTCCCCTTCTGCCCCCCCCCTCCCCATCCAGTATCTCTGCTCTCTTTGTCCATATATGTCCAAAATGTCCTGCCTCCGCAGGAAGACACATTAAAAGCTGATTTGTTATTGTTGCAGCAGCCATCCACCCTTTGGCACCAACAGTGGGATTTGAAGTCAAAGCATGGCTTCAGTCCACACATTATCAGATAAACAATATATTTCTATCCAGGCAACCAGGAAGCCAGAGAAGAAGGGGGATTCCCAGACGTTGTTGGAGTTGACCTCAGAGTGATGGAGGCTTGATCAGTTTTGTTAACATTTTTGGTCTAAATCCAAAAGAAGGCCAGGGGGTCACAAACGGGGACTGACAAGAGAGGGTCAAATGCAGGAAGTAACACCACCGTTGCCCATTTTTGCCAAAGGGATAAACTCAATGGTTTCCGTGCATTGGTGAACCTGTTTAGTAATAGTCTCACTTTTCCTCCCCCACCTCCCTCATGCTCCCCCCCAATTCATCCGTTTCTCTCACAATGCCTGGAAGTAGCTGAGACCTACATCTCCCTCTCTGTTTTTTTAATTGTTGTTTTCTGTTATAACAAAAGCACACAATTGATCTGAGCTCCGTCCAAACAAATAAAAGCAGGAGGACACGCACGCGAGCACTACACCCCAGAGAAAAACTTCCGACTCATATTTACAAAGCTTTCATACACAAATGCAGTATCAAGTAATATTTAATGTCCACGTTCAAATCAATGGCCACCTTGTCAAATAACACTACCACATCATTTAGTAACGCTTTTAGGAACAAACAATGTTATTATAGGAGTTGAGAAACATTCGAAAATAATAAAAATTGTAGTAACCCCCAAAGTACTTGCCTCCCATCTGGATCAAAAACACATACCAACAATGTGTGAAGCTGCATTTACCATTGGAAACAGTCCCACACAAAAATGCCTTGAAACCATCTACGTTACAGGTATTTTCTTAGTGTTTGTGGAAGTGCTGGAGTTATTTTCTTGCAACACACGACAGCAATCCTACAGTCACAAACCCAATTCTGTAAGCAGTTCCCCTTATTACTGTTAGGTATATCCTGCACGTTGGATATCGGAAAGGCAGTTTTATGCTGAAACTCCAAATTTAGCAAATATTTACACATTCATTCGCCTGCTAGTTTCTGCCTCCATTGAAAACTCAGAACAGCTAAAAAGCAGCATGTTGACACATGGTCTCAGGTATCCCCTGAGTTTGATATATCCGGGGTTTTGTGCACTGTAGGTCAAACATAAATATTTCTTCTTCTGCTTCCTCTATTTCTGCCTCTGTGAAACACTTTGATGTGACGGAAACACTGACAGTTCACAGTTCACATTTGCATTGCCTCAAACCAGTGCCCTGCCTCTGTACATGTATGTGAACCTGCGGCTGCACTCAGGATGAGGCAACTTTCCTCTTGTTTTTTATGTTATTCATGACCTCCAGAACCCTACATTACCCTGAGTCTCCATTACTCCTCCCTTGTCTTTCTGCTGCCTTTATTGTTGACGGATGTCCTGCACAGGCGTTTTCATTCATGTCTCTGAGCAGCTTTGCAGGATGCCCCACTAATGTGCCTGCATGTGAATGTGGCGGTCGAAGGGCAGTTCCTGTACATCTGTCGCTTACAGCTCTATGAGTCAGGGCGGGGCCAAAGGGTTGTTTTTCAGAACTAGGAGCAGGTCTCCCATCTAGAACCATGGATTTCGGTCTCACTTCCTTCCTCTACATCCACATAACACTACGCCTCTGCTCTCAGGCAGCAGGCCAGAAGCTTCCGGACACAGTTGTGGAACCATCAATAATCCCTGTGAACCTGATGCAGTGACACGGTTCTTTGAATTTCAAATCCACTGCCTAATACATTCAAGTGATACCTTTTACATAATGAGATCAAATGCTGTTATACTGTATGTTGTGAACAACATTAGACCAGTGGTTCTTAACCTTGTTGGAGGTACTGAACCCCGAACCCAGGTTAAGAACCACTGCATTAGACACACTGGTTAAAAAGGATCCAAACCACAACACAGTCAGCATGTATATGGAATCACCAAATGAGATACACGGGTACAAAGTAGACACTATACAGAAAGCCATGTTACAGCCCATTTATTTACCCTTGTGCGTCACTGTGGCCAGTACATATTCTGGGAAAAAGTCCAAATGATATCTCCAGGCTTTACATCAAGGGTTTAAGTTACTGAAGAAAGTGTAGTTTGAGTAAAGTCTGGTGGTGGCACTTTCACATTAAAGGCATTTAAAGTAAATAATAACTTAATGCAATTTTTTTACTGCATTAATATTTTAATGGAAAATTACCAATGCTCTGTTCTCTCAATTGAGATTTATTTACCTTTCAAATATGTTGACCACCCCCCAATCTGCATTATATAATACACTTCTTGTTTAACCAACAACAAACTATTATTCCAGTTTCCTCTCACTCAGTTTCCTCCATCATAGAGTGGGGTCAAAGGTGCAAAAGCGTTGGTGGGGGGAAACCTGAAGACCCTTGGACATCTAGGCACGTACCTTATCTCCCCTAGGGGTCCTCATATATGTTTTTTCACCGAGAATCACAAACACATGGTTCTTTCCTGCCATTTCTTTGCTCAAAGCGATAGGGGTTTAGAAAAACTAATAGACCACTAAAAATACTTGGAGACTGGAGCCTGGGCTGTTTTCCTGCACTGCTCCTACAGAAAGCGTGGGCCACCGACCAGGAAGGAGGAAACGAGCCGCTCTGGCCATGTGGGGGCTTCCTGCGTAACTTTATAAAGAGTCCTCTCCCTTCAGTTTCCTCACTCAGAGTCAGTGGCAGCTGTGGGAGAGCCCCTGCTCCACATCTTTGATCACAGACTCAACACTGAGCTGAGGGCTTGACGTGGACACGAGTTCTCGTCCCTGCTGGTCGGGGTGAGTCAGAAAAATGCTTTTTTCTTTATTGTATATTCTTTTTCGTGGTTATAACTGTGAAAATGTTTGTAAATGTAACATCTCTTAAAGCTTATTGAAAGAAATGAAAATCCTTCTTTTTCTTACTTTTTTGTTAAATGCATCGTCATCTTCCATCTCAGTCTATCCCTTGACTCCTCTCCTGTCCCATAATGATCTTTACAGAATTCTTTACTGTCTTCTCCCCCGTTAATGGAATCTTCACCATTGTTTTCATCTCCTTTATCTCTCTTCAGCACATGTCCAAACCTCTTCTAGGTCAGCTATCTAACTTTATCTTTAAACTTTTGAACCTCAGCTCCAATCCCTTCAATTCTAATTCTGTCCATTCTGGTTTCATACCTACAACCCATATACATATTTATATAGCCAATATTTAACTTTTTATTTTTTGTGTTTTCCTTTATCCAGGTACGAGTAGGGAGCTGGTCTCACCTAACACGTGTCTGGGACACTTCAGACTATTTATTCTATAATTTAAAACACAGGTCTGTTATATTTTTTGAAAATAATTATGCACTGAATCCCATAATGCACCATATTCTTATTCTTGCAATATCTGTAAAAACTCTACAGACAAGCATGATGGAAGCGTTGGGAGGATACAGAATGGGCAGAGAGCAGGAGCTCAGGCCTGAGGGATATGTGAAAGAGTTCACACGACACTCCAACGACGTACTGCTAAACCTTAATGAGCTCCGGCACCGTAACATCCTGACTGACACCACCCTAGTCGTTGGAAACGTGCAGCTGAGTGCACACTGTGCCGTCCTTGTGGCATGCAGGTCAGTGCTAAGACATCACGAAAAGTAGTTCCTGTGCATTAATTCTTCATGAACATTATATATTCAAAATACTGTATTTTATCTTGTGCTTCAGTGGGTTCTTTTACTCCCTGTACTCCCGCCGTGTGATGCTGCAAGGGCGTGGTGGAGGAGATCAGCTCATGACAGTGTCCCTCCCCAACACTTTGGACGCCTCCAGCATCTCCCTGCTCCTGGACTTCATGTACACCTCCCGTCTCCCTCTGACTCCTAGCATTGTCCCAGGAGTTCTGGCCGCTGCAGCTTATCTACAGATGGACCACGTGGCTGAAACCTGCAAGGACTTCATGCGCCTGCACTGGTGAGAAGCTCAGATGAGAATAAAAAATAAAATCCACATAAAGATCCATTTGAGGTTTTAAATTATTGAGAATTTGTTCTTGTTTTTTTAGCAGGGAGAATATGAGCACCAGACACCTACGACTGGAGCTGGACTCCAGTGTCTCTGTTGCCTCAGTCGCCCTCATGGGAGGAGGTTTGTCTCATCCAGGACCAGTGGCAGGAACTGCAAGGTAACAGAAAACAAGTGCATTATATTAAGATAGCATCTGTTGTGTTTGTTGATCAACTGTTATACTGGCAACCAGAGAATAAGAATGTGCTGTTGCAGACTACCATGAGTGTGTCTGCACTCCTGCGCCTTTGTTAGTTGACAGGTTGAGCTCATTACAGGACTTCCTGTGTTTGTCCTGCAGGTTCTCTCAGGAGGGCGGAGGGTCTCTGAAGCCAGGGGCTTTCCCATCCTGCCAGTCTGGGCCAAAGGAGGCAAGAGAAAAGCCCGAGTCGCCACACATGGCCAGCCCGACCCCATCTCCAGACAGCCCCGCCCGCTCCAGCTGCCAACCCAGTTCTCCAGCTGAGTCCAACACCTGTAACAAAAACTTAGTGGTAGGTTCCCGAAAACAAACAAACAAAAACATATAATACTTACAATGTTATTATGTCAATGTAGATGTAATTTCTTTGCTATTTCCCCCACAGAGTGAAACTAGAACCACGCCAGATCCAAAGGCCTGCAACTGGAAAAAGTACAAGTACATTGTCCTCAACCCTCTGTGTGCTGCGCCCACAGTGAAGGAGGAGCAGACGGAGGAGCCCCAGAGTCAAGCGTCACCTATGACTGATCCGATGATCCTGACTCCCAAAGGCCCAGTAGAGGCGTGGTCTGGAGAAGTGCCTGGTCAGATTGATAGGTAGGAGCTCCAGCACTATAAACTAAGAGAGGATAAATGGAAAGATAGAACAATATTTGCAAAGTGAAAATGTGATTGTCTCACATCATCAGACAGGGGCAGGCCTCCTGCTACGAGGGTTCTGGCCGAGCCCCTCCCCTCGGGCCACTACCCTCTCTGGATCCACAAAAAGTGACCCCAACTCCCAAGGATGAACTTGGTATGAACTAAAACTCTCATTTAAATTAAGAGACATTGTCCTAATTCTTCATCTATACACTTAACTTTTCACTGCCTCTCTCCAGGTTCACCCTGCACCAGTCTCTCAAATCTGGACCCTGCTAATGCAGAAGCTGCCATCAATAATAAAGAGGTCATCAAGCGTGAGAACTACTATATGTCCTACTGTTATTCTGGAAACATTCAAGGAACCAAAACCACCGCCTCAAGTAGGGGATTTTTTAGAACCACTGTTCTGTTTATTTTATCTAAACAGTTGACATGAAAACCAGTGATTGACAAAGACTTTTGACTTTCCAGGCGACAAACCGTACCGCTGTAATGTGTGCGGAGCCCAATTCAACCGCCCAGCCAACCTGAAGACCCACTCACGCATCCATTCAGGAGAGAAACCATACCGTTGTGATACCTGTGGCGCTCGATTTGTTCAAGTAAGAAGGAGTTTCCTCATTTCCTTGTACCTTTTTAGAAATCAGTTACGTAATCAGCCTTCTTAACTGTTACTCCAAGTTTCTCCATGACCTCCTCAGATTAGACTAGATTAGATTATACAATAACAATAACAATTGTATAATAAAATTATAATCAAGAATAGAAAAATACATGCAACAGTACTTCTCATTAAAACCAAGACAGAGAAAGAGAAAGAGCAAAAGGATGCTCTTATTGCAAAAACTATATAAACACAATAAGCAGTTTGCATAAAGGAAGTGGAAAGGAACTAAAGAAATAAAGTACACATCAAAGCAGACATTCAGACCCATCGGTGGTTGGTTGTGTTGTGTTTTCACGAATCTCCTCTGGGCTCGTCCTCTTTTCCTCCTGTCTGATCGCTCCATGTTCAGCATTTGTTCTCCAATATTTGCATCTCTTCTAAGCAAAAGTTTCTTCTCTAACCTTATCATCAGTTATACATCCAGAAATCTTATCATCTCACTCTTGTTTTTCTGTAATAGGTTGCTCACCTCAGGGCCCACGTCTTGATCCACACAGGTGAGAAACCTTACCCGTGTCACACCTGTGGCACCCGTTTCCGCCACCTGCAGACTCTGAAGAGTCACCTGCGCATCCACACTGGAGAGAAGCCTTACATTGTGAGTCAGGACTGCACCACCCACACTCAGAATCACCCGTTCATGTTCTGTTCTTTTAACCTGCTCACTCTGCTCCGCTCCACAGTGCGAAAAGTGCGACCTCCACTTTCGTCACAAGAGCCAGCTGCGCCTCCATCTGCGTCAGAAACATGGCGCGGTCACCAACACCAAGATCCGCTACAAGGTGCTGACGGAGCCGTACCAACCTCTACTGCAGGCCTGCTGAGGAGACAGGCCTCTACGTCACAGCCACCGCAGCAAGTGTAATTCACAAAGCATTAATGCCATAGAAATACAATGTATAGCGATAAACGTAGAGATGAAGTGCATGATGGGAAAGAAATAATGTTTAAAGAAGTGTTTTTTGTAGGTCTGGGAAGGAGGTGATGTTATGTAGAATGGAATGGTGGGAACTGTGGAGACGCGTAAGGTTTGTTAGAAAGTAAGAAAGAAAGAAAGAAAGATAGAAAGAAAGAAGCAGGTTTTTATGAAGAAGGGAGGAGTGTAAGTTGAACTAAAACGACAGTGATAGTAAAGCTATTAAACTTACACTGAGGCCTGGGGCCCATGTTTTTGTTTTAATTATTATTCTAAGCTAAAGTATGCTGTAATATTTGCTTTTATGGTCCCAGCTGGCAAAGGACTTTTTTTAAAGAAAGAAGAAAGTGAATCAGTGTTGGAGTATGAAAGATCTTTAGTAAGTGATTAAATATCATAATATAATGGATAATGATAAGTATACATTTGGAAGTGTTTGGGTTAATTTGCTGGACAAAGATGTTTTTTCTACAAGTCAAATTAAACAGTTTTTATACCAATCGGACACCTTGTGTTGGCTGTGTCTTTCTTTGGTGAAAGTACGAGGCAATTTATGGCAATAAATGACAAAAGCAAGTGAAAAAAAAAACTGGAAATATTTTTTTCAGCTCCTGTTTGCTCTCTCTTCTACACTTCCCTCTCCTCCCTGCATCTTCCTTCCTTCCTCTCATTAACTCACTCTTTCTCCCCATGAATCACACTTTTTCCCCTCCTTTTTTCGGCATCTAAAACAATACGGGCACCTGTTTCCTCCTAGGAGCTCATATAGTTACGTCTCCACCACGTGATGTTGTGGTGCTGCTGCTTCCTGAAGGTGATGGGGGTGAAGGTGGATGAGAAAGGGATGGAGGGGTCCAGACTCCCGTTGAACTCGGTCATCATCTGTCACCCCCCACTTCCTGCTCCTGGGTAAGTTCATGTTCTCGGGGCCACACAGCAGACAAACATCGGAGATTTGACAGGACTTTCCAGCCTTCGCTCCCTTCTTTCCTCACCTAAAAGAACAACGCTGACTGGGCTGTTTTTGTTGCTGTGATATGAATGTTTCCATTAAAATATCTGTTCTTGTTGGACTTCAGGGTAGTGATGTGCGGATCGATCCTGAAATATCGATACTTCCGATTCTGGATCTTTATGCTCTGAAATCGATTCTGAAATCAAAATATCGATACTTTTGATACTTACGCATTCTGAGATGAGGTGTATCCTAAACAGAAACATGGTGAAAAGTTAAAAAGTCCCAACAGTTTGTACTGCTTTTAACGGAAACATGTGTTCAGTGCGCGTCAACGTCACGGCGGTTGCGCGCGTCACCTTACAGCTGTGTGAAGTTGAACCTGTAAACGGTTGCTCTGTTCTCCACGGTCACAGTGTGGAGTCAGTGAGGGTGCCTGGACCGTAGGCCATGTGCTGTTCTGGTTGAACAACACAGAGTAAGTACAGCTCGGTGAACGGTTCGGACTTGTCAGCGAAAAGCACGTGATGTTTTGTTTAAATTGTGTCAGCTGTGTGAGCGCTTCCACGGCAGTGGAGGGATTACTCGCGTCTAAATTGTCCGCAGATATATTTAATCGTCACAGCTCGTCAGTCAACTACTTTATCGTGTTGTAAAGCACGTTATATAAGATTTGCAAGTAAACGCGAAATGTGCAACGTAACATTTATGACCGTTTGTTGTTTTCGTTTTGTTACTGGGGGTTGGGGATAGAGCCACCGCGCAGGCGCAGTTTTAGGGCAACGTCATTGTTTCATCTGGCGTGGTCAGTCACACCTGTTTAATTATCATGGGCGTGTCCAATGTGTGGGGTTGTGTTCCCCACGATTTATTTAATTGTACAGATACAGATTTTTATAGTTTTCTATTTTTCCATAAATTTCGTATAGCTGTTTTTTAAAAACGTTTCTGCTAACTTCTATTGTTTATTGTGGAGGCCACATTGTAGTTCATTTATATTTTTTCATAACACTCACAAACATGTTAGCATTTTTAGCCTACGTTTTTTTGGCCTTATATAAAAACAAATGGACAAACAAGTACATTTATGCACCATCGTGTTTAACATGGTCTAACTTCACCAAATTTATCAACAATAAAAAAGTCTAACCAGAATGATTTCACTTGTGAGCAATAAAATGTCTTTAAAGTGAATACTTTTATTCATTTGTCAAATCCTGTGAAATATAATCAATTCAATTGTCAAACATCGTCTTAAATAATCTGCAATAAACAGACAACATTCTTTTCTGGTGTGTTTGTTTTAGAAAGTTGGCTAACGGACATGCTAATGTGTGAATACAGGCCAGAGTTCAGCTTCAGGTTATTTAGTCTCACATACTGACCTGACGGTTGAGCAGCTCTGTAACACCAGCAAGGCATAAAATCTTTACTGGCCTGTGGAAGTTAATGATTATAGTGTTTGACAGCGACAGAGAAGATCTGAAAATAGTCCTGCTCTGCTGCTGAAGAAGAGCAGAGAGCGCTTTCACTTCTATTTTGTGTCAGTGTACTCCAGGCCTTCTTTGGTACTTCCTTTTTCTTCTAATCCCCCAGCAGTTCCTATTAGAGTTCATCTGGGTTTTACTTTTCCCGTTGTCTTAGTTTTGTACACTCTTCCTCACAGACATGGCCGACCAGGAGCCCAAAGCCAAGCGCTGCAGCAGTAAAGCTGAGGGCTCAGAAGGAGACTGGAGCTGGGTGCTGGTGACTGCCATGTTCGTCAGCACGGGCCTGGTGTTCGGACTGATGAGGAGCCTGGGCGTCTTCTTCGTGGAATTCGTTCATTACTTTGAGGAGAGCGCTCAGGCCATCTCCTGGATCTCCTCAATAGGCCTGGCAGCTCAGCAGTTCTTCAGTAAGTCTACTGCCCTCTACCTACTAATACATATTCTTAATGATAATATAATGTACTGCTTATTTTGCTTTGGTGATAACAAAAGGAATTATAATTTATAATATAATTTATTTATGATTTAATATCAGATATGTAGAAGCAAAGTGGTATCTAAATCTAAAATGTCTTAAGGTGGTACTTTTTTGGAATGTGTTAAAATTATTTTGAATTTTAATGTTAAATTTTACAAATATTTCCTGTACATATTTGCTTTGACAGCCCTGTTTTGGCCAAAGATCATTTTTGTTCCACTCATGTTGGCTCGCTGTAACATGTCTTGCAGGTCCTCTGGGTACAGCTCTGTGTAATGCATATGAAACACGGTGGGTGGTGATGACTGGAGGCTTCCTGGCTGGACTGGGCCTCATGCTGGCCTCACAGGCCACCTGCCTCCTCCACCTGTATCTCACCATGGGTGTCATTTCAGGTGATTCCACTTTGACTCACCTGAATGGAAATAACTGTCTACCCTGTATCCAATGGCATGCTCCTCATTGAATCCTGCTGCCAACAGCTCCGTAACCATGTCATGAACCTCTAACCCTGACACTGCACTATTTTCCCCTTTCATTTCCTCCAGGTGTGGGCTGGGGGCTGGTCTTCACTCCTATGATGGCCACAGTCACTGCCAACATCATTAAGCGCCGTGCCTTAGCACTGGGAGTGGGACTCTCCAGCGTTGGCATTTTCTCCTTCTCTTTCAACCCTTTCTTTCAGTTTCTGGTGGAGACATACACCTGGAGAGGGGCCTTGCTGATTCTCGGGGGCCTCAGCCTTAACATTGTGGCCTGTGGGGCCATCATCCCTCTGAGAAGACGCCCTAAGTCTTTAGAAAAGGTGGAGCAGAAGGTAGGAAAAATCTTAGTTTCCACAGAGAAACACAGCAGGGAAGTTGATTCTCTTCAGGATCTTCAGATTTGTTGTCTTCTTTGTTCTATCCCTCACCAGGTCAATGCCAAGGGCAGGTCTTCGTGTTCTACGATCCTCAAACAAGCCTCCACCTACCTGGAGCTTTCACTGCTCTTGGAAAGGCCTTATCTCACCTATGTCGCCGCTGTCAGTTTTGTGAACTTTGGTTACTTTGTGCCATACTTCCACCTGGTGGCCCTCAGCCGCCACGCTGGTTTCTCTGACTATCAAGCTGCATTTGTCATGTCAGCCACGGGAGTGGCAGACATCCTCGCCCGTGTGATGTCAGGCTGGTTCTCCGACCTGGGACGCTTTCGGCAGATCCATTTGCTGAGCCTGTGGGTCACACTGGCGGGAGTGTTCATCATGTTCCTGCCTGTGAGCTCACTGTCTGGTTCTTATGTTGCACTCTTGGTTGTTAGCCTCTTCTACGGCTTCTGTGCCGGGGCTTTGACCTGTGTGTGCTTCTCCGTGGTGCCAATGATAGTGGGCGTGGAGCGAGTGATGGGGGCCATGGGGCTGCTGCAGCTCATCGAGAGCGGCGCCGGCCTGCTGGGGACTCCTCTGTCAGGTAGGACACAAAGGAAGGACTTCAGAGAGCTGAGTTAGAGTGTGTTTTCTAAAATGACCTTAACCTGAACCACACATTGACTCACTGAGTCAAATATTAATCCTAGTCAGGGTCAGGCTGCTCAAGTCATTCAGCTGAAACTCCGGTCATTTAGAGTTTTTAATCTACTTTATTTTCCTCTTTGTGTCTTGCTTTTTTATTACAATAGAGAGATGTCCAAACTAAATTAGTTTTTTTTTTAATGCAAATCATTACTCCTGTTGAATCAGCTTCAGGTCCTAGCCAGGTCAAATAAAGTTTAAATAAAGGTTAAATAAAAATGAAGGATAGTTGGAAAATGGTTAAAAACCAAACAATGGATGGCCACAGGTTGGGATAGAAATAAACTGTAATGATTAGCTTAGCAGGCTAGCTATGAGGTCCAGCAGTTGGTAAAGAAAATATAACAAAAATAACCAACATTGAAAAAAATGTTACATTGGAAATTTGAAAATATTAAATTAAACCCATTACATTGAAAATTATCTAATGCTTTTTAATGTTTTAAAAAAGAAGCTCATTATGGGATTGTTGGGCCCAAAGCCAGTTTGGACATGCTAACTTTATCCTACGATATATTCACGTTACTGTGTTTTACTGTCTGTAAGTTGCACTTTTTTTTTCATCCTTTGGCGGGGTTTGCAACATATATATTAAAATATATAATTTCACGTTTGTTATTTTCACACTGAGAGCCACTAGAGGGCACTCTAGCTGGCTGGTGCGACATACTCCTGCATTTTTTAGCTGGTATGACTTATACTCCAGAGCAACTTATAGTCCTGAAAATGCGGTACATGAATGAGTAAAAAAAAATACGAGCAGAAGGCTAAATAACACATAACAAAACACTAATAATTTTAAACATTTTTTCTGTCTCTTTGTCAACAGGATGGCTCAAGGACATCACAGGCAACTACACTGCCTCTTTCATGGTAACAGGCAGTTTTCTCATTTTTGGGACTCTGACTTTGGCCACTCTTCCTCACTACTTCTCCTGTAGAGATCCTCCACCCGTGCAAAGACATTCCCATAATGGCAAGAATGTGACCTCATGTTCAGAGTTGGAGCAGCTCCGTAATGCTAACACAAGTAATGGAGGAGCTTTATGACCTGGCTGCAGAAGCCTGAATAGAGTGTTGGTTCAGAGATCATCACCTCCTTTAAGTCTACAATTGCACAAAGAAATGCAGAGTTGCTGCATGTTCAAATGATACCTCAGTGACTCAGACCAAAAAGGCCTCTCTCCTTGTGCTTGGAAATTATTCCTTTTTTTCTCTGCACACACATGAAGTTAGCACAACAGGATTGTAGGCAAGAGAGGAAAATGCAATTATTTTACCTGTCAAGACCAGTATATATTTTAATATGTACACTTGTATGTTTTTTTTTACCTTAATTTCAGGCACAGATCATTTTAATGAATCACATTTTATCGACCATGAAAACATGGCCGTGAATACTACAGTGTCAAACTGATGGACATGAACCCTGACACTGGATATCAGGCTTTTCTGATTACCTAATCTGAATACAGGACAGATCACAGTGAACCTTAATCTAACAGCCAGGACTCGACAATACGGACCAAAGATCATATTATCTCTATATTTTTCTACTAGTGACTCAACTGAAGGTAAAATCATGTTCATAATGGCCAGTTAAAGTCTAACTTGCCCCATTGACATACAAAAAGAAACATTTTAGGAAATAAACACTATTTTGGAGGACTGAGTGCCAAGATTAAATAAATTAATACATCATGAAATAATGACTGAAATATTAATGTCATTAAATAATTTTAATTGAGGATTATAATTATTGATTTTATTACATTTTGTTACTATCAGTCATAGTTCATAAATTAATGTTATCTGTCAAACTTACCCATCATAGTCAGTGTGCGGGGCTAAGGCTAATATAGTCTTATCCATTGGTCTGAAGTAGCATTCCTGGAGAAACATGATAGAGGACTATCATGAACTTGGGAATATGAGACATTTTAGACGTAGCAGAGGCTGTGGAAGACAGACCTGCCAAACCCACAGCATGTAGCAAATATAGCACCTCAACACCAGTATGTCTTAAAGCAATATGGGTACATTCTTAATATTTATCTCCAACAGTTCATTCAAATGCTGCACATGAGGAAATAAACACAAGATCTAATTCTCTAAGTACTCTTTTGTTACAATCATTAGTGCACAGGCACTTTTTCTGACCATAAACTTAAACCGTCTTAGTACCGAGGGGAGGGGGGTCGGCATGACCAGTTCAGGATGGAATTTTGTTTCTATTGAACAGTGGAGTGCTATCAATGATTGTTGATGAAAAAAGTATTAATTTATAAAATTTATTTTGACTTGTAGACTGTTTTGCACAACATTTTTGCTGTAGCTTTTTTGTACAGTAATTTAAATACGTGTCTAACGGGGTGTATCGACTTTTTGACAAGCTGACATCTAGTGGACATTGTAAACATGGCAACTAAATGTGATTAATCAATGATTCAAATGAAACGTTATAATTCATTTTGTTTTATTTAACCATCATACAAGATTCAAGTACCAAACATTCATCAAAAATACAGATCCAAGCCGCGCTTAACATTTTTAACCTTTTTAATGTATAAAAACACATTCATGGCGCAATTAAAATGCATTTGAATCGCATATAGTCAATATTTCCATGTAAAAAAAGTCAACGGAAATGCCAAAGTAGGAAAAAAAACAAGTTTTTGGTCAAATGAAGTTCAATTCACCGGTTTTAGCAGAGTGAATACTGCCCTCTGCTGGGCATGAAGTCACCTGATTCTGTTGTCAAAGTTATTTCCTGCCACACAATTGTTCTGCTGTGACGTGATGGCACAAAGAGTTCACTGTGTGGTGAGTAATTCTGTCTGTGAACTCAACACCAGCTGAGCTATGACTGAACACGTGGCTTGTTGCCAGGGGATATCTGTGTATGTGTGTGTGTATATATGTTTGTGTGTGAGCAGTGGTTCCTGAGTTTATTGAGGCTCAAGTGTGTATATGTGGTGTTCCACAGCAGTAGCTCCTCAGGTTTTGGGGTCTGCACTGCGGCGTTTGAGCTTCTCTGGGTTGTTTGAAGCCATGTGTGAAAAGTCTCTGAAGATGTCCTGGTACGTTTCATCACCTACAGCAGAAAACAAGAACAAGACATGAGCTTTGGATCCTGACTTAAATAACACCCACAGTCGGTTTAAGGTCCAGTGTGTTACGTTCATGGGGGTTTATTGGCAGCATCAATGCCTTGGCCTGAAACCAGGCTTCTTCCAGCTAACAGTCAATTCTGAGGCTCACTCAAATGCTCTTCCACTCCATGCTAGTGACTAACCATAAATCAAATGGAGGGATAAATTATTTCCTCATCCATCCTGAAGATTCGGTCTTGTTTCTGGGCAACTATTGTAAAAATATATTGTTTATAAGTTTAAATGTACTGAAAAAAGATTTGGTGTTTTACAGCCAAACTTACTGCGTTTCTTCTTGTTCATTGTTTACCAAAGTGAGGTGCAGGTCCCTTTTGTGGGGTGAGGACCAATATTGTACTAACTGTTTCATAATTGTATTTATTCGGACAATGATAATAGTACGAATAAATAGTCCACAAATTACAGTGGAACTGTCGCGCAACAACAATAGTTTGATATGAAGGAGGTGCTGGAGAGAACGTTTGGGAACCACTGCTTTAGATTAGGTCCTACAGAACACACCAGAATCAGAACACTGATGTTCTACCAATGTTTTCAAAAACAACATTTTCAAGAAACACCAAGTCTTTTCTGGAGTGACGAAGTTACCATAGCTTAACCACTAGATGTCACCAAAATGTACACACTGGACCTTTAAGTTTCAAAAATTCAGTAACAACAGAATGCCATGTATTACGGAGTTAAATCTACCTAGATTTAAATCAAATGTATGTTATTCAGCTGTAGCAAGAAGCATGCAAATAAACAAAACAATGACATTTTCAGGGCATGCACATGCACTTTTACCTTTTAGTTTTCAGTAGATGGCGCACTGCACGAGCAGTTGAGTGAAGCCGGAGGTCTCAGCAGGGAGAGAGCACAGGCACGCGACAAAGAAACACACACAAACGCAGCACGTCAGAAACTGACCAGCAGTGGTTTGAAGCAGACACAGAGCCTCTGGTTTCCATTCCTTCATGAGTCCAACCTGAATGCACTTCAATGACTCATCATGAAAGAATGGACTGTGCAGCTCAGAGAGGAGCCAGATGACAAAAAACAGCAAACAAACTCCAGACGTGAAGCAATGAGCTTTTGGAATCGACTCCATTGGATTCATATAAATACATACACTGGAATATAAAACATTCTAAAAGCACAGACTGCAATGCTATTCACAGAATAGCACAGTTAACGTTTCAGAGAAGGAAAACACAGGAATAAAATATCATAAAAAACATCTGATAAAGTCGGCACAAAGCTTATAGAAATATCCCACATTTATAAAGTCATAAAACTGGACCCGTTGCAGGACTTTTTTTGTATATTTACACATCCTGCTATTTGTTTGAAGTACAACACTGTTTGTGTAGAGTATGCAGGATGATGACGATGATGATGATGTTGTGCGTCTGTAATTCAAAGTGCATGTGGAAAACGCTTCAGTCTTCAAACACAGTGTTCTCTCTTTGTTTCACATGATTACTTGCTTCTTTACTCCTCATTAGGTCTGTTTTTGTTTAGACTCAGTCGTACCCTCTGTTCTGCTCCTCATTTCCAAAATCTGAATTTTAACGCTGCGTAACCGAAGGCATTTTTCTGTTTTTTTATCTGATACTTCAGGATGTATAAAGATTTTTAAAAATACTTTTATCTCTGCTAATCAGTCTGCCCTCCCAGAGCCCAGCCACTGATGTGATTCCTTATGGCCTGCAGGCTCTTCCTGGTGTGGGCCAGCCCACCTCCTCCCAGTATCCCCCCCGAGCCCTGACTCCCTGAGTGACCTGTTTGGCCGAACGCTCCGTCCATCTCCCGCATCTCTTTATTCATTTTGGCAATTCTGAGCCTAAAAAGGTGAGAGAGAGAGAAAGAAGAAAGAACTTTAAGTTTTTTTCTTTTTACAAAAAATACTTCTTGATCCATCACTTACAGAGTCACGATGTCAGCGTTGGCGTTGTCCACGGCGATGGATATGGGGTCTTTCTGTGTCTTATCCTTGGCGTTGTAGTCGGCACCTCGCTTCAAGAAGAGACAAACCAATCTAGGAATTAAATGACTGTTGTTAAAACAAAGAAATAAGGGAGGGGCAACTCATTGATTTAAAAAAAAAATTCCATTTCAATTCTGACTCCAAAAGGTCACCATAACAACCACACAAATCTTGAATGATTTGTGCACGTACACATCATGAGAGACTAGACTCACAGAAGTACTGGTGCTATTATAAAAAGTTTGCACAAGCAAAGATAAGAGATGAGGAGAGGAGCGCTGCCACGTGACAACTCTCTTTAACAAACTAATGTCTAACCACAGCGTGACTTATGACCAATTACAACAGCAGTTGAATTTGATTTTCATTCATATTTTCATGTTTCTGCCTTCAGATGGGCACACTGGTGACAGAAGTGATGCATTGTGGGCGACATGCTGCTCGGCTACAAACAGTGTTTCTTTGATGGGCTGTTCTAATTTATCTTTACTCGCCAATTGTGATTCATTCAGTTTCTCTACCATTTTCTCCGATGACAACAGACTGGGCCACTTTGAGGTTGTGTCTGGGCCGCATGTGGTCCTCAGGCCGCCATTTTAAAAAGGCATATTGTAAGATAAGGGAACCTCAGATTTATATTAAATAAATAATTTTTTATCAAATAAAAAATGGACACAAACTAACACTTTACAGAAGATTAGTCTTATTTTGTTTTAGTTGAGCCAGTTGACACAGAAACAACTTAGATGAATCCATTTGTTTCTGTTATTTGTTGAGGTGTTGACAGGGTTACGGTTGACATTGTCATGACACCACTTTATTAGTTTTTGAATATACAACAGATACTATGATTATGATTATTAGTTCTTATGATTATCTATTGGTATAACAGGTAGCAGGTTTGCAGCTTTCATTGTCGTCTTAAAAGGCAATATAAAATAAAAAAAAAATTCATTAAATTGTAACAGATTTGCATGACTGCCTGGTCATCCTACCCAGTGTGGCCCAGGATGGTGGCGTGGTGCAGCGGCCCTCTGCCATTACCGTCTGCCTGGTTGACGTTGGCGCCGTTCTGTAGCAGGAATTCACAGGCTGCCAAGGCATTCTGGGAAAAAAAACATTTTCCATGACTCTTTAACATAATGTGACACATGTAATATCCCAAAAAAAACCACTAAAGTCCATCCTCTCCTGCGGGTGGTGCTAAAATCAAATGGACTGGATTCCTCAGGGTATTAAGCTGTCATTTTCTTCTTCCTCACCGCAGAAACAGCCTGTATGAGCGGTGTGCTCGACTCCTCCGCAGCATTGACCCAGTTCACATCAGCGCCGTGAGCCAACGCATCAGCCATGACTGGGAAGTTCTGCAGGGCTGCAGATCTGTACAGCAGCGCTCCTGGATGAAGACCACTCAGATCTTCTTCATCGTCTACATCTGATGGAGCAGAGGGTAAATGAAAGGTCTTATTATTAGTTGTTTTAATGTCAGACAACAACTGTTATGATCTGGTTCTTCTGTACATGCCTGTGTGGCTCTGGGTTTACATGTGTATAAATGAGGGTGTGTGTCCAATCTTACTTTTGTTATTGCTCATATTGTTCTTCTGGAAAAGGTCACTTGAGCTCAGGCCTGAAGAAAGACAGAGAACAGACTTGAGTCTTGGTTTATCAGAAAAATCTGAATTTTAGAAGAACTTCATTCTCCTGTAGTTCGTGTTCTTCTTCTTCTTCTCTGTGAACACAATTATTAATATCTTCCACATGTTTTCTCTTCTTCCTTCCTGACTCAGACTCTCTCTTTATTTACCTGTGCCTCGAGCCAGAGTGGCTCGGGACGGTTTGGGTTTAAGCGGTGGACGCGGTCCTGTCCGCTCCTGCGTGGCCGTACGGTTCCTTTTGAAGCTGGATCGCTTCACCGGTGGGTTTCGACCGGTCTCTGGAAGCTTCTGTATGAACTTTTTTTCAACATACTTTGATCGAATCCATGACTCCTTGTCTCCTCTGAAGGACACCAATGAAAAACAGAGACATTTGTCTCAGGGGGAGGTAAAAAAAACATGCAGAGCAGAAGCTTCTAAACATTCTTCCTTTTTTACTTTGACCCACTAGTCGAATAAACATTGGATTAGCTTATTTCACAGCAAATTTCAATTTCAAGGTTGCACAATATGTAAAACTTTCTAACATTGTGCAAACGGTGAGTCTATGCTGCAGAAACTACACATTTCCTGATACACCAGTCATGAGCTCAGCCCTGAGTCTTGTCATGTACCTGCAGAACTTCCTGTCTGCTGCCGCACAAGAGAGAGAGAGAGAGAAGAGGAAGTCAGAAAATAAGTCTTCAGTGGTTTGTAGGCCAGAGTAGAGCATGACATTTTGAGATGCGTGTAAAGGTAGAGCAGCGGTTCTCCAACTTTTTCTACACTGTACCACCTGAGAAAACCTTGATCTCTCTGAGTACCACCATGATGACCAACATTAGAATACAGCAGCAGAGGCCTTCACTGTTAGCTTCCACCACACAGGAGAAATGTTTAAATGTTGTATTAATTGAAAATGTAAATGTGAAAATATGAATTTTCCCCACGTACCACTAGAGAGCACTTACAATACCACAGTTTGAGAACCACCGAGGTAGAGTGTTCAGTTATTGTCCATTTTTGCCAAGCATGTAGCATCTCAATCAGCCCTGCACTATTTTAGATAGTTTCTGCTAAAATATGTATTTATATTTATATAAATACATATTTATAAATTTATATTTATAAGAGTTTATGAAAACCCAGTTATAAACTTCTTTGTCTTGTTTTTGTTGGTTAAAAAGAATCTTCCATGCAGATGAGCGCAGATACAGAGAAGAAGAAAAGTCAAAGCTTGAACGAAAGACACTGAAGCATTTCTCAGCAGGCAAGGCTCACAACACTTCAAGGTCAAAGTTAAAGAATCGAATTACAAGAGATTTCAAAAAAGGGTTTGAACACTGAAAATATTTTCTTCAGAAATGCTTTTTCTTAGGGATGTTCATGAGCTAACATGAATTTAAATTAGCCTCTTTTGCTCTTGACTAAAACAATTAGTGGACGTGTCAGCGTAACCTGTGGACAAGCAGATGTCCAAATCTGCAAACTAGACAATTGATCTATTGTGAAAGTGCCTTAACTGCCACTGTCTGGACAAACTGACTTGGACGCATAGAATTCAATGAATGTCCCTTTAGTGTCTGCTCATTAGAAGGTGGTGGTTATTTATACCTGGGACTGGAAGGATGTGGCTTCTTGATGGTGATCTCGTCGATGCGAGCCTCGTAGATCCTGTTGATCACTGTGTTTCCTAATTCACACATTAACTGGAGAGAAAAAGAAGAAGGACATGTTTCACTGCTAATTGGTCCATTTGTGCAATAAAACAGTAATGAGGTTGTGAAGCTGTTAAATTACCTTAATGAGCTCGGGCTCCCAGGAGTCCAGAGTGAGGGAGCGCACCTTAGAGAAATGGACTCCCAGGCTCCTGTTAGACAGGACAAGCATTAAAGAGCAGGCTCTTTGAGTGTATGTGTGTGTGTTTATGTGTGTGTGACACACTAACCTGTGTATACCCGAACAGACGATGCACAGCGTGATGCCCAGGTTGATGGAGGCCCAGTCAGGACCGGATTCTCCACAGTCGCAGCACTGCTGGTTTCCAGCGATGGACTGGATGTCCTCCAGTGCCTTGCAGCCATCATTCTCCTGATCTGCGCCTCCACCTCCTCCTCCCCCACCGCCTCCTAAAGTTGCTGACATTGAGCTGCAGCGCTGTCTCTGGTAACCACACACACGAACAAGAATGAGGTGTTGTGTCTCCATCCCAGGGCAAATGTCACAGATGTATCTTAGCTATCCCTGAGCTAACTTTAAGTTACACTGTGGAACAAATGGCGTGATCCCCAACATTTAATGCTGGAACCTTTAGTGAAACTAAATTAGTGAAGCCATTTATTTGGTCTATCAAAGCCACAACACTGAGCTCTTTCTGTACATTTCTACCTTACATTTAACCATTTGTTACTTTTGGTTATTATTTTATGGCTAATGTGAATTTGCTGTTTTTGTTATGCTTTCCCTAAATGGGCTTTCTTACATTATGGGTAGTTCTAGCTATTTTTTATGCTAACCTTTAGCCATCTGTTGAATTAACTAAATACTGTTATTTGAGGTTATTTTACCAAACCGTCTAATTATTAATTATTTTCTAGGCCTTTTAAGTAATGTTGAACTGTCTTACTACATTTTTAGCACATTTTTAGTGAGCAAATTGAAGTTAAAGATATTTCTGCTTCGTTTTTAGTCAACCTTCAAACTATCTTCGACCATTCTTTTTTTTTCATCAGCAAACTTTTGGGGTGTATGTTTACTAAGAAACCCAAGTCCAACTTGTTCTTTCTTATGCAAATATCTTGTTATTTATGTGGAAATTGAAAAGCACCATCAGGTGAACTTTTAGAGCTTTGTCTGAAATTTAAAGGACATTGCTCCGTGTGCTCTGGCGTGTTGGTGTGTTTTCTCACAGGACTGTGCGAATCATCTCTTCTCTCCTGAAAAGCTGAGGCGATGCTGTTTTGGACGGCACTCATCCAGGCCTGCTGCTGTCGGTCTGAGTCAGCCTGCAACAAACAGCACCTAAACACACACACATTTATTCTATTATTTCTTAGTTGGAAAAATTATTACATTCAGACCAGCCCCTTTTGGGTGGGTCTGATCTCCATCCATGCTTTCACTCACTTTGATGGCGAGACCACTTCAAAGCAGAACCGTCTCTCATTTTCACTGCTGGGTTTGACTGTGCAGAGACGCAAGTCCTCCACCACAACTGTGGGCTGCTCCTGGGAGACAGAGACCATCACAAATGTAGCACCAGGCACATGTGTGTTTACTTTAGTTCCTCTTTCATGTACTATATAATCAGAATACTTCAGAAAACCCATACCCGGTATTTCTTCTGATACACCAGCTGATTTTTCTGAATTGAAAACCAACGCCTGAAAGAGAAACCAAATGTACATGACTAGTGCAGGAAATTCATGAAAAGTGATGCAGCGCATCGCTCGAAGGTAAATTCTAACCTGCTCCAAGTCTTGAAGGCGTTACTGGCTCTCTTGTAGAGATATCCTTCCATGGCAATGCCACTGGCTGCGTCAGCGTTAAAGTCCATAATGGAGTCGTCGTAAGACACATCCTGAAACCAGGAATCACCAGAAATTCAATTAATTCAGGTCCAGTAGAAGGTTTTTATTTCTAAGGTTTAACGACTTTATATCCATGACATTAACCCAGACGGGTGGCTTTTTTGCCCGTTAAATTTTATGTTACCTTTTTCTTAATTGCAGCGTGTCTTTGCTCCATGTCCCTCTTCTCTCTGGCTGAGTTGAGGACAAACTGAGTGTGCTGTTAAAAGGAATGAAACAGAGAGTTAGCCATTCTCCAGACATTAATATTGATTTTCAAACATTTTTTATTGCCCTACTCATAATACTGTAACTCGTGCGATGTATTTCTTCAGGATGTCGATACAAACCACTTTAAAAAGCTATACTTTATGCACCATTAATGGCTGAGCAGTTTGGTGTCAAGGCACCAAAGATTTAGAGATATCTAATGTCAAGTTGAGGCTTCCCTTTAGTTTACATTTTGGAAGTGTTGAACGGTTTCTGTATTTCTTTTGTTTGGTCTGTTTTCCTCCAGTGTCAAGTGGATTCACTCTGTCAATGAAGGTTCACGCCGTTTACTTCCTGTTCCAAATTAGTGCAGTGAAAGTTTGTCCTGATGGTGTTTACACTACTCTGGGGGTTCAAAATTGACTTAGGGGTTTAGTTTTATGTTTTAGTGCAGTCTAATTGAAAACTGTGTATTCCAGCCTTGGGACGACAGAGTAAACACACTCACACAAACAGATATGTGAAATATTTCCTGTTGTTGTTCACTATTTCCTGTCACGATGACAAACCTGATGTCAGCAGATCCCCATTGGCCCCACCCTAACAGAATGATGCAAAAGTATGGAGACAGTGTCAAGTCCCAAGTGCTCCTAGTCCCAGTTAAGCCCTAAGTGTTCATGTTTGAATCATGTACTTGAGTCCACTCGGCTTCAAGTCCAAATTTAGATTCACTAACTCGTGGTTCAAGTCCCCAGTTCTACAAATCTGAGTCTCCAGTTCTTCCAGTATGAGGCATGAGGAAGTTCAATCCATTATTGAGTCACTAAAACTTGACACACAATCTGAGGGAGTCAGGTCACTTTCAGTAAAGCCCATAGTGCCTGAAGTACGAGTGTGAATCCTCAACGCTCAGTGCCCAAGTCTGAGTCAATTGGTCCCATGCAGGTCTAAGTCTAGTGCAACGAGTTTCCAGTCTTTCAAGTCTTAGTCCAACTGGAGTTTCATTTGATCTCTACAAATCCCATCCTAGTCTGAGTCTTAGTTGAGTCCTGAGGGCTCAAGGTCTTATATAAGTCCCAGTTTTAGGTTTAGTTTTATGTTTTAGTGCAGTCTTACGTCCAAGCCAAGCTCAAGTTCAAGTCAGATTCAAATACAATGTTACCCAGGTTTCAGATGTGAACTTTAGTTAAGTCCCCACTGCTTAAGTCGTAGTGACTGAAGTGTAAAACCAAATCTAGTCGTCGAGATTCCCGGTCCAATCCATCTTAAACTGACACACATACCTCTTCATTCAGTTTTTGTCGATACTCCTCCAGTTCTGACAGTGACGTGTGGCCTTGTTGGAAAAACTGGGCTTGGGTCTCCATTAAAGACAACATCTGACACAAAAGGATTTGTTTTAAATCTTTCAACCAGACATGCTCAAGATAAACAACAAAAACAAAATAGTAGGTTGAGGTGAACTCACTGCCATCAGAATGTCTGTCTTCTTCTTGGCCTCGATCACATTTATCTGTAACAAAAGACAGCAGTTGTTTCACAAACGCCATGTTGCTGGAATCAGAAACTCTGAGAACAGTTTACTGTGGAGAAAATGAAACTACCACAAATACTGGGGAAAAAAAATAACCTGAGGCTAAATGTGTATAATTCAAAGCAGAGGAAAGCACAGCTGTGGTCACTGTGCTGCTGGTGTAGATTTTATCCACACATTTCCTGATTCTTGATCCACTGTTTAGTCTCCCGGGACTTTGACCTTATTTAGAGTAAAAGATAAAGTAGAAAAACTCACCTCCAGGACGTAGTCCAAGGCCTCAGACCTAAAGATCCTGCGTGCGTTCAGCAGAGCGTTATTGGCCTCCTCCACTTCATGTTGCTTCCCGCGTGGAGCCTGAGCGTTTTTGGCCAGCGCCCCCTCCAGCGTTTCGCTGCTGCGCTCAAACTCCTTTCGCACGTCTTTGAAATGACGGACATCCCTGATGGACGAGAAGATATGCTGTCAATTCCAAATTAACTTGATTTCAGAATTAATGAATTCAGGACAAAGCCTAAACCTGAAACCAGGCTTGGTACCAAACCATTTATTCATGTCCTATACCAACACTGCACATCCACAATGAATCAATATATTCTCTTCTTTTCTCTTACATGGTGTATACTGTAGTACCATGCATGACTAAAGTTATGAAATACAGCTGCTTTTTATTGCAACAAAAAGATTTAAATCATTTTGGATTGGTCATAAAGATTTCAGTGTCAGTCAAACATTTAAAACATTATTTAAAGTCAGACTTTGTGCAAACGTTTAAATCTGAGTTTGATAATAAATTAAATGTGGATTCCAGTTCTTAATGATATAGAAAAACGATGCAGTGCAAACCCTGACATAAATAATAATAATAACTTAACATAAGAATGAATCAATCTTGACTAGGACCTAACTTGGACTGGGAACTTGACTCAGTAGTAGTGATAGAGACTTAGTCCTGGCTTTTTTAACTGACTTGGACTCAATCAAAGACTTCCACACAAGAGACTTGGCACCAGACTCAGACTCAGACATGTGCAGGTTAATGACCATCATTAGATGCTGCCACACAGTTGGTCTCTGATCTGGTCTCCTCAATCATAGCCCAGGAATGAGAGTAGAAACCAAAGAGAAAGTGAAGTGTGAGAATGGAGAAACTGAAAAGACAGCAAACAGGAACAGCTTCACTCACTCTTTGACAAAGGTCTGCAGCTTGGTTTTCACTGACTTCTGCGTGGTCTCGATCACTTCCTAACAGAGACACAGAGACAAATCTCCAGCAGTGAGCACAGATAAGTATGAAATGTCAACTATGATGTCCTATCAAACAGACTCTTGCAACATTGTTGACTGCTACATAATGCAGCTGATAAGAGCCGTGACAGAACCGGAGCCTGAGCAGAGCCAGGGAGCACACATTCAGTACTCACCCCCTGAGAGTCCAAGATATCTGACAGCTTTGTGGAAAATTTATGTAAACATTCCTGCAGGACACAAAGCTCAGATTAGACTCAGTCCAGATCACTAGGACAACACAAGAAGTATGCAGTAACACGGTGGGCCCTAAACTTCATTAGTCAGTGTTGCTGTCCAGTTTTCTGTGTTCTAATTACGGTCACTTTATTCAGTCTTAGATTCTGAGTCCAACCCTATGTCCTGATTGTTGGGCTACTAGTCCAGAGTTCTCAGTATTTAGACACCGTGTTCAGTCCTCACTCTCCACAAGCCACAGCTAATGGCTCAGTTTAAAACAAATCAAAAATGTTCTGGACTGGTATCTAAATTCACCTGATAAACGTTTGAGGTTTAACTAAAGTCCTCATGGTTTCAAGTCTGAGTTCATACAGCGTTTGAAAAATTCTAATTTAGTCAGAGGTGAATTCACAGGTTAGATGAGTCAAAGTCAAAGTAAAAAAATAACTAATGGTGACAGGAAATGGTGACACGTCCAGTGCGTTCCTCTCACCTCCATCATCTTGTCTCCACAGCACTGGTGGCCCAGCTCTCGGAGGCCGTTGACAAAGCTCTTGCTGGTCTGGCAGTAGACTCTGCCTGCCTCCAGCATGGCCTGGCATTGTTTCACCAGCTGCAGAACACAAATACACTCAGAAACAGGTAGGTGCAGCTGAAGTACTTCATTAAGATAAAGAGTACATATACGGAGTTATATCAGAAAACATTTTGACAATCCTCAAAAGAGTTTTTCAAACTGTATTAAAATATTTTACAGATACATAAACAGATATTATTACTGGGGTTTAAAACACTATACAACTCTGACATATGGTGGTTATTGTGAGAGCTAGCAGATGGAAACTGACTTTTAAAAGTTTACGGTTCATTCTGTGCTATTAGGAATAAGTTCTAAGGAGATTTAAGCGTCAGTTGACAAACAATGAAGTTGCTGCTGAATCACAGTTCTGCTGAAGGCAGTTACGCAGGCGAGAGCCACAGTTGCCCTCAGGTGCTGGAACCTGGTTCCTCCAGTTTTTTTTTTTTCAAATGCCACCACACTTTAATCACACTGCTGCAGAACACTTTGCAGTGAAAGTTGCAGTAAAAGCACAAGCTTTGTTTCTCCCAAAGTCTCTCAAACCCTTTGTATATTTTGGTCTCAGGGAGAAGTGGACGGTGGGATAGATAGAAACATAGATAGATACAAAGCAGTTAAATTCATGATTATTTACCTAGCACCTGAAACCTGAAACATATAATCTCCCAGTTGAACTGATGTGAAACTGTGACACGTGTAGATACAAAGGCATGAGGGGGGAATATGGTTAAATATGCCAAAGAAGCAGAAGTGGAAGGACAATTCAATAGGGAAACAGCACCTGCTGCTACTTCCTGCTTGATTTCAGGTGAAATCCCTCCCTCCCTAATCTCCTGCTTTAGAAAGTCAGGATACGCTCTGGACAAAATACTGAAATATTTATCTAAATTTAATACTCAACTTTTGTGAAATGGTGTGACAAAATTCAAATTGTGCCATGAACGTGAGTGCCACTAGCACCTAAGCCCTGAGTTTAATTGGAAATACTGTAATTTTTTGTGACGAAGCCTCTGCTGGCTGTGAGTGGCACTGTGGTTCAGTCTTCGGTTAGCCTAAAAGATATGTGATCACAATTGCTCCCTGCAAATTGTTTTTCCCAGAGGCCCAGACCAATGTAATGTAGGTGTTAGTACGAGTGACGAGGCTTACCTTCTCTAATCGTACCTCCAGTTCGCTCACATTGTTTTGGACTTCTTCAATGTTAGCCCTGAAACAGACACAAAACCACAGCGTTGACCTCAATGTCAAAAGGAGATGTGAAATGCACAGACACGCATGGAATTCCATGTATTGAAAGAACAATGGTGAACTGTGTAATAGCTGATCCAATGCAATTTAGTAAAGCCTTAAATGAAGCAGTAAAGTTATATTGCAATGTATTGCTTTGTTGTGTCATGTGACTTTTTGTAATTTTGTTATCATGGAGCCTCATACACAGGACATCCTTGAAAAATGGGAAAATATCTGTATTTTATCAAACAGAGAACAATAAAAACAAAACAAGGGTGAAATGATTAGTTATTAATGTTTGAGTCAGGGTCGGAAAAATCAGAACAGAAATGGAATTTCTAGCAAACTTTTATGGTACAAATTCACTGAATGAATGAAATTAAAATATTGAGTTCCTCCCAAATTAGTTGACATTAGTCAATTTTTGAAGTAAAAATATAAAATGAAATGTTTTGCAAGAGCATTATTTTTCTCATTTTTATACAATACATGAAAACCAGATTAGATTGAATCTGCACCAGAGGTTGCCACTTATTATTTAATTTATTCTCCAACTCCCTGCTGTTTCTGCACTTATCATAATAAAAGAGAAAGCTGCAACCCCCCCTGGAGAATATACATCCAGGACCACCCTTGGCTCTTTTCTTATTTAGTATTTAGCACTGTTCCAAGTTGTATATATTATGTTTCACCACAAATACTGCAAAAGTACTACCATAGCAAGAAAAATAAAACCTAGCTCAACTTTTTGCAGCACTGACCATTTATTTGACTTCATTACTGCATTCCCTTTATTATGTCGTCATGATTTATTTCAGTGCTTTGTTTTAATGCTCGTCTGTGGGCCACACTGACTCAGTGTTAGAATGCAGCTATTTATGTAATTAATGAAGTTTCAAATGCATCTTAAAATATGAACTAAGCATTGTTGCGTAAAGACGAGACTATCACCCCGTTGAGACAAACTTTCTGTCCTCATTTCCACAGTCACTGGTCAGGCTTTGCTTTTTCAATGTAGGAATTTTCCTTCACAAGAGCAGACAGCGTCTTCAGTCGAGTTTAGAGCCAGAATTTGTGTTTCTGGTGTCTGTGCGTCTCTACTTGAACCAGCAGCTCAACTTTGTGGTTTCCGCTGCCTTCCACCAACAGTACAGAGACACACAGATAGAGAGAATGCAAGAGAAAGCGCAAGAATGAGACTGAGGGAGAGAACAGAGGCCAGACTTAGGTCTGAACAGAGTCACGTTATTCTGTTTGTTAGCTTGGCGATGGTGTACGAAACGTCCAGAGGTCAGGACCTTTTAAATTATGAAAAAATGAGGAGCAAAGGAGGGAAGGTTGCAAAGAGGAGGAAGAAAGGAAGAATAAATAAAGAACTGAAGGTGACCACCGATGATGAAATACGATTTTCTTTCCACTTTAGCTTTCACACAATCTGGTGGCAGTGGTGACGTGGACTCAGTAGTCAGTCAAATGATCAACAGCTACTCAGTTATTATACTAATGACAGCTGTTTATGATTGTTGATTATTTGAGGGATCAGGGAAACTCTTGTCAGAATAGTTGAAGATGAAGTCTTGTGCAGACAGAGCGAACCACAGCTGAAGTTTCCGTCGTGGTTTCACCCCTGCAGAAAACACACTTCCTGTATCTCCTCCATCACCACCTCTGCAAATCTCGCCTCACTTCCTGTTGTCAATTACGCTGTGACTAACAACAGAAGGCAGCACTTTTGAATGACGCTGAGCTGTGACTAGACTTTTACATCTCTATATCCTTCCTTCTTTCTTCTTTTACCCTTTTATCCCTTGCACCCTCCACACTATTTTTGCAGATCCTTCCCTCCTCCTTCCTTCCTTCCTTCCTTCTTTCCCTCCTTATTCCCTATTTGACAAGAGACCTTGCTGCTGCCTGCAACCGCTACAGAACTTTCCACCACAGTGCAAATCTTGTAAATTCAATACGGGCAGTGAGACAAGGAGATGGAAAGCTGGATAGTTGGAGACTTAAAATTTGCAGTCACTGTGCCTCAGGGCTGAATGCCAAAAACAAAAACACAGGACACACCTCAGATCTGCCAACCTCTCTTAAGTCGCTTGCAAAACCCCTGTAGTGACACTTCCCTTCTGATTACCCCATATACTAAATCTGTTTTTGAGAAAGAGTCACTGTAAATGATGGCTGACATTCAATATCAAGCATACTGTTTTACAATCCAGATGAATGAACTTTGGATCAAGAGTCGCTGGTTTTTAAATCATCTTTAATTAAACTTGTTAACATGTGACAGTTGTTACGTTGTCCTGTACATAAAGTGTAATTTAAGCCTATATTGAATTTTCCCAGGTGTAAACAAGGTTCACTTTAGACCTTATCAGACATCAGATCAGTGTTTTCAGCCCTGCAGGCCTAACTCTTTTTTTTTTTACCTCAGTATCTACAGAGACGTGACATAGCTCGACCTAGGGGAACCTAGGTCTCACAGACTGTCATAGTCATAGGACATAGAAACTTAACGAGTGGAAACATATGTATCCATTTTAAGTCTTCTCATTTAAAAACTTTAGTTAGTGCTAATGCTACAGGCATACATAGTTTACCAAAACAATTAAACAGTGTAAGCGTGAGTTAGTGAAACGTACCTGAAACGGGGGGAGTCTTTCAGACACTCCTCGAAGTCCAATTTGACTGTCATCTTCCACACCACACTTCCGAGACTCTCTGGAGAATGTATTTGTCGTGAAGTACAAAGGAAGCAGCAGCAATAAAAAGAAATCGACAATTTTTAAATTGTAAAAATCGTGTTGGTCTCCGCGTTAACTGCCTGACTCATAAATCCTGTGAGTCGTTCACTTACAGTATAATTGAAATTCCTGCCGCAGCGGAGGACCTACAACAGTTACCGCTTATGAGTAAAGCCCCGGGATGTTGGTATCGTTGTTGCCATTTTATAAAAAAATACGGGTTTCACTGGTATTAAAAAATAAAATCCCTTACAATGAAGTTGCGTCGATATTTCCAATCAACAGGAAATGCAGCTACTGTTGTATATGATACTTGTTCTTCCCCTGACAACTGTCGGACTGAGGCTCTCTCTCTCTCTCTCTCCCTCTCTCTCTCTCTCTCTCTCGCTCTCTCGCTGTCTCTCTCTCTCACCCTGTCCCTCTGTCACAAACACTGGCACAACGCACTATTTCCGGGTGTGATTTTCATACATCATACGCCGCAAAATGTTAGCTATTATTCTGAATTTAAAAATATATTATTTTTCCTTAAATAGCAGAAATGGGCTCCCATAGTAGTATGTATGTTCGTTTTGGTTTTGTTTTGGGTTTTTTGGGTTTTTTTCTTAATGTCAAAATCAATTAATTGTATTATTATGGAATAAATAAACTTCATGTTGCCTCATTTTTATGAATGCTAAATTAAATTCTGGGCTAACTTTGAGTTAGCATTTAGCTCAATATTGTTTTAGTGAATCACTGTTTCATTTTTCAGATATCTTATAGCATTTTTTTACTCTCTCTTTTACTTTGTTGGCTTACTTTACGTTGCTTCAACTACTTTTTGCCTACTTATAACTATTTTCTGTGTGTTTAGGCTATAATTTGGAGATTTGCAGCCTGCATGTTTAACGCCTGAAAAAGCCCCAGGTGATGTAAAATCAAAAATAGATCAACAAATATATAGAAACTCAGGAACTGCTTGTGTGGCAGATGTTTGGTCAAAATGTTTCCACTCAGACTTAGACATGCAAGTAAACTATTTATGTTCCTGTGGTATTAATGCTGACATCACCATGTAAATTTCCCTGGTAATTTTCAACACGTCTGTACTATTTTTTTCACCGTTGAGATCTTTTTAATCAACAAGTTGTAAAAGATATATAACGTTCATAGAAAATAATATAAAGTCTAAAGAAGATAGTGGTCACCAGTAATTTTAGTTATATCAATTCTGAGTTATTACTAAGGACCAACACTATTGTGGAAAGTGTGCATTGAAAAACCTTTAGTCTCACTCTGGCATTTGATACAATGGTTATAAAGTGAGGGCAGTGCAGTAGGGCTTTGTCCAAACGTTTCCTAACCCCTTCATGTGGTTTCTTACTGCTGGTTTTGTGTATTCCACTCTTCAATTTCCCCAGTGAACAGTGATTCTCATGTGCTCTCTCTCTCTCTCTCTCTCTCTCTCTTTCTCTATCCCTCTGTCTCACACACACAGAGACACTGGGTGTGTATTCTTGTCTGACAACCTTTCGTTGAAGCCTTTTTGCTGAAGTAGAAAAAAGAGGAGGAGGCATTGTCATACCACCCAGTGTGCTAATGACTGCTCTCTACCAGAAAACATCACAGTTTTGACAAAATGACTGTAAAAGGAATTTAGATGGTTTGTTTACATATTTGTATTATCTTATCATATTGTCATAAATATGTTTCAACTAAATGTTTTTGCACTTTATTTATTGGTTTTCACATTTGAAAATGTTACAGCATATACCTACAGAAGAGCAAGGAAAAAGCACAAAAAAAGAAGGAAAAAAGCAGACTTAAAATAAACATAGATAATTATGTGGTTTTCAGTAGTAGTAATGGCATACTTGTTCGCTCAAAAGTATGTTTGAGAAATTGTGCAATGAAGGGTTGCCATATCTTGCTGAAATTATACTTAGGATGTCATAGTAAGAGTCTAATCTCACTCATCCTCACCCTGAATACCAAAAATGGGCGTAAGGGTTTATTGATCTCAGATAAGTCATGTTTGGCACACATTGATGAGGAGTGTATCCTTGAAAATATATCAGAGTACTCAGAATCTGTATTTTGCATTCTTCTCTCACATGCTTCTCTTAAAGTATCAAAATATGTTACCTGTAAGAATGAGAATTTTTATATACACAATGAATATTATGCCTTTGTTGAGCTGTTGTTCTTATGTGGTTACGGATCTAATCCCAGATCTGTAGAAACCTTCCTCCCAAAATCACATTTTGGGAGGAAAGAATCATGTTCAAGTGATGGGGTAACTGATGGTTTGCCACTATTGGGGATGAAGTGAGCCAACCTGCCATCTATAGTGTTATGGCACTTGAGCCCATACATGCAGAGATTTACAGACTAGGGTGGCAGTATATGCACAGCGTAGCGTGATAGACATTGCCGAATGAAGCAACGTTGGGAGGCTCAATGGGAGGTTTGCGTCATCTTCCTGTTGAACCCAGATGGGGACCTTATTGATAGCATAAGCTTGAAGCCAGTAACCCATACATTTTTTTTAAATTAAGAAAGTAAGAATCATATAAAACATTTAAAACTGTTATATTGATAGTTTTTCTCCGTCAGAAACCATCTTTCATTCTTTACATTTGTCAAAAAACCCAAACAACAATTTTAGCACACTGGGCAATGTTAAATAAGCAACTGCACTTTGTCATCTTCACCACACACTGATGTAGTCAGACACTCAGAAGCCTGTGGTTTAGAACCCAGACGCTGTGAAGCCAGAGAGGTGTACAAGTGTAATTACAGCAGCTCAAGTGTGACTCTGCTCTGTCCTTTACACAAACACCATCATCTAGTTAATGGACGTTTTTATCTGCACAGGATCGTACTGTCATCATTTATATGTACTGCTTAGTCACCACCCAAGTAGTGTGCATGCAATTTGCCATAAGATTTGTAACTGCAGATTCATTAGTACACAAGCTCATTGCAATAGGATGATGGCCATAAGCAACCATGTGTATTTAGTGAATAACTGTTGGCAAATTGACGTTATATCAATCATGTCCTACAACAAACAAGTTAACTCAAAGCACCTACTCATAAGACAAGCTCAACAAGAGCACTGGATTTCTTTTTTTAATTTACCTACCATCCTACCTACTTCTTATTTTATTACCAAGACCTATATAATTTTCAACACAATTTCTGCCAACCTGACCTAGTTTTTGCTTATAATTCTACCCTCCACATCCCCAGTTGTCTTCCAAATTACCTTTTACCAAGATAGCAGTCTATGTACCAGGGGTATGACATACATACCTATCTAAACATGTAACTACCTACCAAATTTTACTATGAACCTGCCTATCAATGGTCTACCATTCTGTGTCTGACACTGTGACTGTCTGTGTATTTGCGTTTGTGTATCTTACAAACAACAAACAAAGTAAATTAAATAGTTACTCGTACAGTCTGTCTTCCTCCTGATTTCATTCCTGTCATAGGGTGTATTTCTCCCTCTGCTGGTCAGTCCCTGCACTGCCGTCTAGTTCTTAGAAAAAAACCCCAAACGTAACATTTTTCTTTTCTTCGGCTCATATATCACTGAAAATAGTAAATATGTATGTATGTATGTAAATATAAATACTATATCTCTCCTCGGGGGGAGAGGTATAGTGATAAATATATAAATATAATAAGTAAATATGTATCTCTCCTCGGGGGGAGAGGTATAGTAGTGTGTGTGCGTGCGTGTGTGATTCTACAAATACTGTGAAACGCATTTGATTAATAGACGTAACTGAAAGAAGGGCGTGTGTGACCTGTTGCTAAGTGGCCTCATCAAAATAAATATTGTTACCATACAGTAAGATGGGCGGGAGTAAAATGTTTTCACTTAGTGCACCGTACCAGAAATGTTGCTATGTTGTTTCCATGAGAGATTCTGTTCATTTAACGCCTAAGCACATTTAGAATCTCGGTTTAAGTTCATCCAGGTCATCTTATACAAAAGTAGTTGTAGTAGAAGTAGTAGTTATGTCAAGGGCAGTAGTTATGTCGGTTTTTCCGAAGACATTTCACCTCTCATCTAAGGGGCTTCTTTAGGTCTAATTAACTGCTGGGAAGTTTCTGGTATTTAACCTTGGAGAGGCTGAACACCTGAAAGAGAGGGTCGTTGGGGAGAACAAGGGGGTGACCACACCCAATACCAAAGAAAAAAAAAGGGTGGAGGGGGGTTGTGGTCACAAGGGTTAAGTGGTAGATGGGATTTAGCCCAAAAAGATGATCCACAAGATTTTTGTTATCATTATTTTCGCCAAAAGAACTGGGGAAAGAGAAAGGGGGTTAGCAAGGAGGTGGCACAGGATCACAGCAGTTTGTGATTCACAAAGACAAAAAAAAAAAAGTTGTCTGGCCAGTGTCTAAGTTGACATTTCAAAAGGTCTTTGTTCTTGTCTGACAGGAGATCCCCTACTCTTTAGTCCAAGTGTCAAAGGCAGAGAGAAGTCACAGCCCAAATCCGTAGTCTCAGCAACAACAGCCTTGTCCTGCAGTGTGACTGTAATAGATTTGATATAAAACGTTTTGTAGAGACAAACCAAGACGATTAGTTTATCAGATCATAAAAGTACAGTTATAAAAATACAAAGAAAATCTTCGTCCCTGGGTGGGCTTGAACCACCAACCTTTCGGTTAACAGCCGAACGCGCTAACCGATTGCGCCACAGAGACGGGGATGACGCGTAGAACACGATACAGAGTATTTGAATGTACTAATTGTTCTTTTTTTTACATTGCTTCTGAGGATATCGTGTTATTCAGTAACCACATTACATTCAGATAATAAATTGCTCATTTTAAATTTAAAATGGTTATTGTAACGTAACTCTGTTGTATTTCAAAGAATAGAGAGATTCTTGACATGTGCTTTTTTACATTTTCTTTGCCTTTACATGCACCAAAAAGATCGTGGTGTGTTGAGTGAACGGCGTACAATCAAAATAGAACAGACAATCGGTGGTCCTCAAAATAAACTGACAGGAGATCTCAAGCTCATGAATCCAAGTTTATATCGGTGAAAACGCAAAAAAAAAAAAAAAACGGTCGTCCCTGGGTGGGCTTGAACCACCAACCTTTCGGTTAACAGCCGAACGCGCTAACCGATTGCGCCACAGAGACGAAGACGTCCATTCCGTGACGTCTAATACAATTTAAATAAAAAATCGATTTACTGCTCTCAAATGTTTCTACGATTAATCGTCGCACTGCTACTTCAATATCTGACTAATCACACTCCCAGCTAGAAGCTTTGATTTGCCTGTTTTTGAAGCACCACCGCTCAAATATTTGATTCTTTATTATATTTCTTTCTTCCATTTCCCTTTTCCCATCTACTCTCCCCTTCTCCATCTTTGATGGACAAATCGTCCATCAATCATGGCATGAATTATTTTTGCCTGAGAAAACAACAATGAAAAATGTTCATCCTTGATACCCTAAATACATTTGATGCTAACAAAATAATCGATAAGAAATATATATATTTATAATTACAACCTGCATAGTGCTACGAGATTCCGCATTTATTTTGAAGTGTCCAGAAAGTGTTTCCGGTGTTTTCGTTAGCTAAGCTGCTGTCATCTGACTTGACACGCCTCCCCTGTGTGCACCCATGCATTGGACTGAAGCAGCAGAAGAAGCTCTTCCTTAATGCAGGCTTGAGTTGCGGAGGAGAACCAGAAGAAGGAGGAGTAGTCGGAGGTGAGGTGGTACCGGTGACTTCACACCGACCCTGACCTCCAGGCCCGAGAGAGGATTTATTTATACAAGAGGAATTAGACAACATGTCGAACCGAAAGCACCGGGACAACCAGGAGATCTGCTCCCGTAAGGTCCGCGAGCTGGCCCAGTCTGGAGTAAACAAACACTGCTTCGAGTGCAACCAGCCTGGGGTGACTTACACCGACATCACCGTAGGCAGCTTCGTGTGCACGTCGTGCTCCGGAATGCTGTGAGTACCAATCCTCCTCCTCCTCTTCCTCCTCCTGCCTCCTCCTTCTCCTGCCTCCTCGTGCTTTTTATTATTTACTGCACATTCAGCAACATCATGTTGTGAAAACACAGTGGCAGACATGCATGCGCATGCATGCACTGCTACTGCTACTCTTGCTGTAAAAAAAAAAAAAAGTAGGAGTAGGCCTAAGAATGTGAGATGTGATTGCACTGTAGACGGATTCACACACTGCACTCCTGCCTTTCAGCGTAAACAGGCAGAGTTGGCGTAGTGCAACAGTGCAAGATGTGAGTGTGACTGAGTGTTTGTGCGCACATTAATTTACGCAGTCCCCCTCTCTCTCTCTCTCTGTCTCTGTCTCCCCCTCTGCCTCTTTCTCATGCTTGTCCTCCAGCAGCTTCATAATCAACAGACCTCCTCTTGGTCAATTTCCAGCTCTGAGTTGCGTTCAATTTCGTCATGGTGCAGGTTTGACACTACCTCTCTCTCTCTCTCTCTCTCTCTGACTCTCCCTAGGCTCCCGTCCAGTGTGGGCGTGTACTTGTGCATAACTGTGTGTGAGAGTGTGCTGTCACATTTTGTTCTGCATGTTGGTCTCCAACACTCTTCTGTCTCTTCCTTCTCCTCCACAGGCAGATGGTCTCATCACTTTATACTTAGTGTTGTAAAGTGTGAAGAGTCAGTTTTATATATGGTGATGAGCTAGTTTGTGGATTAGTTTGATACAGTGATGCAAAAACCAAGTATCATCCAAGAGAGTTATAGGGAAATACTGCTGTAGTAGCAACCATTCTAAGTGTTGTTGGGTCTCACTGTGAAATAACCTGCACTGATATGATGGCAACCCTTCACAGATAATCATGTTCTTCTTTTTGTCAAAGTTGGGAAATAAGGTGGAAGTCTGCAAGGAAAGAGTACATTTTGGAAAACAGCAAAAGAGAAAATTCCCATAGAGAGACCCTTAGTTGACAAGGAGTTGGGCCTTGGACGAGCCCCAGAAAAGTGACAGGGCTTTGAGTTTGTCTCAAGTCTGAGAACCACATGTCTTCTAACCAACAAGACAAATGACCCATGGTGGCAGAAGCAAAGCAGATGAATAGTCATTGATAATTTTGTAGTCAGACCGTCTCTGATTGGCTGTGAGACATGTACAAAAGGTGAAAAGTGATATTAAGGTTATAAATTATCATAATACTTCTTCATGTTTCACATGTTGGTTCAGAGGAAAAGAGAAATCACAGATTTATTACACAATATATTCTTGTGTAACCTGCACATTTTCAGCAATGCCCCTCTTTGTGTCCCGGCATGAAGACGCACTGACAGGTTCTGGTTTCTGTGTTTGTGAGTCTCCCAATAATCACAGTCAATTCACAGTCACCTTCAAATCTTCAGTCCATGAGATTCACACAGACATGTCTCCCTAATTGTTTGTTAGGTTTTTTTTTTTTTTTTTTTTGCTTTATTTCACATGAATTCTCTTCTCCGTGTCCCAGGAGAGGCCTGAACCCTCCGCATAGAGTCAAGTCCATCTCCATGACAACCTTCTCGCAACAGGAAGTGGAATTCCTCCAGAACCATGGCAACGAGGTGAGTGCTGTGGCATGGCGACTTGGTGACTTGGTTCTTCAGGTGGCAGAAGAAAAAATCCCAATACTTGGAAACAATATGCTGTGATTTATTTCCTTCGACCCAGAGATCTGATTCTAAGTGTGAAAAAGATAGGACTGTGAAAGTTAAGTCAGAGATCATGTCTAAATTTTTAGAAATATTAAAAATCTAAGAGTACATTTATCAGATTTTGGAGGAAAAAATATGGATTATATTGAGATTAAGTTAAAAAAATATAGACATAAATCATAGTTTTGACTTTGAGAATTCTGAGAAAAAAACCTTTTTCACAAATCATAAAATTATAGACAAGTTAATTAGAAGGAAGTTCTGAGAAGATCTCAGTGTTATGTGGTTAAAGTAATTTACTTAAATCCCAGAAGTTCTGAGAAGTCTAAATTAAGAGATCAAAGTAAAACTTAGAGAAAAAAAGTCAGAACTGGGAAATAAAGTCTTCGGTCCTCTATTGTTAGAACAACCATTCTTTTAAGTTATACAGCAATTCAGACACAGTTCATTTTTTTGTTTGTTTTGACTCTGGCTCCTCTCATGTGATATGACTCAGGGTTGCTGATAAAAACAGCAGCAGCAGCAGCAGCAGCTGGTAAGTGTGTCTGTTTGTTTTTGTCCTTTTGTCTGAGTTTACTCTCTAAAAGAACCCTGGATCAGATATTAAGGTTCTGGAATATGAAACCTTTCCTGTGTCGCAGCGACCAGTCCAACCAGTCTTTGTGGTCATCAAGCTGTTTTTTAGGGAAGAATGTGAGCGCTGGCCTTAAACAAGTGCCAAGAAACAAAAGGAGCAGCTCTGCCTGTCCCTCCCAAACCACCATTTATTTCCTTTCTGTGTATGTGTGTGTGTGTGTGTGTCTGTGGGACAGTAGGTTTCCAGACACCACTTCACAAAGTTTTTTCCATTGTAAATGTCTCACTCAGCACATGTTTTGACCGCATTCCCTCAGCAAAAATACAACACTCTGAGCTCCATTGTTGCCATGTTTGTGATCATTCAGTGTCAGAATGCAGTTTTACTGTACCTGCAACAGTTTCCAATTACTGCGGTCACATTTGCATTAGTACCAGTCAAATGAAAATAGGTCCAAGGGGTTGAAAATGCAGTTGCATAATAACATCAACAAAGCCACAGTGACTCCTGTGATGAAATAAATAAACGCTGGAAGTCCTTGACAAATCTTAATGTTGACATATTAGCTCTCAGAAGGCTTTCATCCTCCTATAACAGTATATATGCTATATAAATTCAGACCACCAGTTATGTATCAATATTTTATTTATACTCTATATCATATGTGTCAAACTCAAGGCCCGGGGGCCAAATGTGGCCCGCGGGAGCTTAAAAAGCATTTAGTAAAGTCCATGCAGTAGAGGTTCTTAACCTGAGAAATTAAAAGTTTTTTATAATAAATCAAATAACAATCAATTTCAGAAACACGTATTAGTCTGTTATGGAGTAGTTACATCTACACTAGTGGTCCTCAACCTTTTTTGTTTAAAGAACTGGTCAGCCAGTACCACCCCTTACTACAGACTAGTACCAAGGTGCTGAGCATTGAAGGGTCATTACATTTTCAAAATAAAACATCTTTTAGACTCTATTCTGTTTGTATCAGAGTCTGAATGACATATTATTTTAAAACATTGCCAGATTATCTTTAAATAAAGAATGTAAATGGATAAGACTGGATTTTCTTTGAATGAAGTAAATTAGTAAAAATTAAGTACATTTTTCAGTGTCCAACTGTGGCTCAGTACCAAATGACCCATGGACTGGTAGTGGTCCGCAGACCGGGGGCTGCCGACCCCTGATCTATACAGTCTTCCATTTACAACCGGCCCTTTAAGGGGAACTGTATTGTTGATGTGGCCCCCTGTGAAAATGAGTTTGACACACCTGCTCTATATAAACCGGATACTGAAATAATTTGTATTTAAAAAAAGTATAATTTAAATGACCAGTGTCCTTCTTGTGACTACCAGTGACCTTGTGTTTCCCATTGAATATTTAAAAGTCTATTCAATATGTAAATCCCCTCAAAAAAAGCATTTTATTCTGCTGGAGAACCTAATTGAGGTCTAAATAAAACACCTCCCTGGTTCAACGTGGTAAAATATTTTGAAAAGTGCAGTGAAGTGTTAAAAAAAGAAGGAAAATGACTCTTGTAGCCACTGGTCCGAGCAGTGTGTGATAAAGTGTGAAGTGTTCGGGCCATAGAGATGAGTGCTGCCCATTTTTCACCAGCTCCCTGTTGGCCTGGATTTGTGTGTGTGTGTCAGTTCTAATGTGCAAGGAGGCAGAGGTGTGTGTGTGTGTGTGTGTGTGTCGTCCCTGTTCTTCCTCTCCAGCCTCCTCCTCCCACTGGTCCGCGTCCTCCTCCGAGGAGAGATGAAGCCAGTTATGATTCACGGGCAGTAATGTTTGCCGCACTCTCACTCCGGTGCTGAAGATGAATCAGTGATGAAGAAGCCTGTTTATGTTTGTGTGAGACTGGACTCAGGCTGAATGCCAAACCAGTGACGAGATTGTGGTTTGATTCTGTGCTGCAGCCCGGAGACACAGACCCCTTCACTGTTGCTGTGTGTCCTTACACAGTCATGTGATCGCTGACTGATGTCTTGTGAAATATCTGTATGTCTGTATGTCTGTATGTCTGTATGTCTGTATGTCTGTATGTCTGTATGTGTGTGTGTGTGTGTGTGTGTGCTCTCCTCAGATCGGGAGGAGGACCTGGCTGTGTGTCTTTTTGACCTTAAGGCAGACGGCTGCTCCGACATGAAGGACTCTCAGAAGTTCAAAGAGTTCCTTCAGGACAAATATGAGAAGAAGAAATGGTGAGGAGGATCCAAGCTGGTTTTAGAATTAAAAATTATTTTAAAATTAAAATAATAAACTCCTGAAAAAATTAGCAAAGGATCTGTGGGGAAATTCTACCCCAGACTTAATACAATCATTATTATGTCCCCCATATTCACTGGATGCACACTTTAACTGGACCTGGTTAACCCTTTGTGAACCCAAATATAAAATGTCCCACTCGGGGTATAACTCTTATACAAATACTCATTCATTTAAAATTGTTGGCTTTTACACAAGATTCCATCACAAAATGTTATTACTAATTAGATAAGCTGCAAATGGGAAAAGAGTATAAAAGAATAAAATATATATTTATATTTGGTCCATTTCAGTTTTGAGCAAAATAAACTGAAATAATAATACAGTAATGACTTTACATCTTTTTAGATTTTAATTTAATAATTATTAAGATGTGAAGCCTTTTTTTATTGCCACATGTTGCTGAGGATGTTTTAAAAACAAAACTGTTTAACTACTGAAACTGAAACTTTCTGTAATAACCTCCTGTTTATAAAGAGTGAACCTTTGATTGTGGTGTTTCAGATTTGATTTAAAGCATTTACTTTTCACTTTTACAGGCATTTTTCCAAAAGCAAAAACCGACGGGACATGGAGGGTCCCTGGAGTCCTGGGGTTCAGTCCATGGCCCCTTCCCTCGGACCCTTAGCGAACCAGGTCCTTCCTCACAACATGACCTCCAACTCCAGGCCTAACAGGCCACTGGTGAGAGCTTTTAAAGGTGTCCTGACTGTACATGTAGGGTTTGAGTATAAGTGTGGGGACGAGGGAATGAGAAAGAAACCTGTGTGCAGTAAAAACCAGTGACTGTAGTTCAAAGAGAGCCAAAAGAGAAATGAGATTTAACAAAGAAGAAGTGACCCGGGGTGACGTTCCACACTGCTGCACAGACAGATGGGTCAGGGAGTGATAGGAGGCAGCTCCAACATCAAAGCTTCTGCTTATGAATTATTGACAGTGTTTGAAAGAGATTCAGTTTTCCCCCTTTGTTTCTTTCTCTCTCCACTTCCCATCTGCTCCTCTTCCTCTTTCTCTCTCTCCCCGTCTCTTCTCCTGCAGTCTCAGGCCCAGTTACCACAATGGGACAGAGCGCCGACCATCTCTCCTGCTGACATGCGTACAGACGTGTTCACGGCGCGGCCGTCGCGCTCCCAAAGCTTTAGAGATGCCCCTCTAAAAGGTCAGGGGGCGATCTTTACGTGGGAGTAGATATTTACGGTCCAAATCCTATTTATAAACCTACCTATGTCTCTGATGTAGACGCCACACTGTGTGGGATAGAACGACAGCGACCAGGCTCCCTGTCGTCTGCACTGGGGACTCAGAGCCACAACCCGTCCTTCCCTGCCCTCCCACGTCCATCAGGTGTGTCACTCACTGGATTTGATGTTTTTTTTTCTTATTCCCGTAGGTCTGGATTAAAAAGAAAACTAAGAGGCTTGGAATCTTTGTTGTATTTCCAGTTAGTCAGTAAACAATGCAGGTTATGAAATCAAGCCAGTGTAGAAAAGAGTAACATTATTGAACCACAACAGGGCGATCTTGTGAAAAGAAAACACTTGCTAACTGTGTTTTAGACATTAGGAAACATTAGTTGAGACATTATTGGTCCTATTTCACATTTACAATATCTTTTAATTTAACATTTAACCCACATATTGTAAATATTGATCCTGTTAGAAGGAATACAGCCCATAAAGCACTGCAGATGAGGGTAGTCTAATCTCAACAACCATCCAGCAGAATTCCTAATGTTGAATGAATTCCTAAAAAACAGCAATCCATGTGTTTGGGTAGATGTTAAAGGATTAGGCTTGTAGTTAAAGGATTGCAGGTTTGAATCCCCCCCAGGTGATAGCCCAGTGTTCCTTTGTGTCCAGTGTTAATCACTTACTGTGAGTGTCTTAAGATGAATTAATTGAGTTTAATGTATCAAAGTCAAAATGGCTTTGTTCATTTCTCATATAATGTTTTATGCTCTCAAACTAAATTCAAATGTTCTGCAAAAATAAACCCATCACACCTGGTTGGCATTGTACCTTCAGGACCTTGATGTAGAGCCCAAATAGACTGAATCATTTCAGATATAGTCGTGCAAGGTTATAATGAGCTTTTGTACTTTCTCTGATGAAGCTGTCCTCTTATACTTCTTGGCTCTGAGTATAAACATTTTTGGAAGGACACAAAGAGACACAGCCTGCCATATTTTAGATTCTTGTCATTCTCTTTCACTATCTTGCTCAGTTTTAATCTCTTACTAGCACACTAGGTTGCTGTCTATGTGAGGGCACTCTTCTACAGGCAGCCATCCTGCCCAGCGATGTCAACATTTTTATTCCTTTTTTTAAGCTATGGCACTGTTGACATTTACTCCTCTGTGTTTCTCTTCCTTTTCTCTCCCTCCACATCCTCATAGCAAGTAGTTCTTTCAAAAACCACTTCACTTTAGGTAAGACTCCGAGCGATGCTTTCAAGTGTGTGTGCGCTACTGAATGGCTGAGATCAATAAGCTTTTTAACATCTCGTGTCATATTCTGCGATATAAATCAAACTGGAGCCAAGTCCCCCACTGGAAAATATATAGGTGCACTTTGGATCATTTTGAGTGCTTTTTCATAAATCTGCAGCCTTTTGGCATAACTTTTAGTACATTTTGGGCTAATGTTTAGCTGTGCTCCAAGCTACATTTTACAAACTTTTCTGCTTACTTGAGTTATTGATAGGTTCTTTTTGCTATTGTTGACACAGTTTTCCCTTTTACTTTCTGATATTATTAAAGGTAAGTTTTATATAATTGTTTGTTAGAGTAACTGTTGCGAATTTAAATTTGAACATTTATCCATGGGGCCACATTTAAGGTTTAAAATAACTATTTTGGCCCCTAGTTTTGCTGTTTTTAGTTGAATCAATATTTCAAGAACATTAAAAATTCTCAATTGTTCTGCTCTCAGGTGCCACCCTGGTGCATAAAGGTCACAAGATTTTATGCTTTGGTTTTTGCATATGCCATCTAATACATAAGTTGACAATAGTCTGGGTCAGTGGAGCGGATCTAAAATTAAAAACATCAAAACCTTTCCTTTGAAATTTAGGATGTAAAAAAAAGGAGTTTCTACAAAGATTTTGAATAGTGAGAAGGTCAAGGAGAAACGGAGTCATACAAACATAGCTACTGTTCTCTCAGAGGAGAGCAACACATTTGAAGGGATGCTATTTTTGGGAAGTAGCTGCAGCTACTATCCACCCTCCCTTAGCACAAGGCCACTCGTATTTCTGTCCACATCGGTGTAGAAGCACTTAAAAAACTATGTAGGACACAGCTGTAGACCCAACACTCATTAGTATCACAAAGAAGCATTGTAGCAGGTTTAGCCTACGCTAGCATTTCTTTAATTTCTGTGTAAATATGTAGTGCGTTTGATGATTTTATAAAAATGTGTCTTGCATGCTGTATTTTCTCAAATAACTTGTCTAATCCAGTCAACAGCAAAAACATGTGCTAGCATCACATAAGCATGCTCTGGGGCTAACACCTGCTAACAAGAAAACATGACGATTGCTATTTCCTGCCTCTGTTTCCAACAACAGTCATTTATGTTGATTTGCTGCTTTGAAGATGTATCTAAGGAAATTGTGGGCTTGCTACTTTCCTTCTCTATTTTCATGTCACTGCTTAACCACAATGACCACTGTGGGCCACTTCATATATACAAACTAATCCTGGTTTTGTTGAGACTCATAGTATGAAAACATATTGTAGCTTGACATACATTATTTTACAAATAAAATAAACTAAAGTTTGTGTTCTGACTTAGTATTTCTAGTATTTTTACATTAGTTATAAAGCATTACTTATTGTTGTCTTTGGTTTAAATATGAATGTATATCCACAAATGTCTCTGGAACTCACATACATGAGGTGATATACTTCATTTGACATTAAATGTTACTGTTTTGGCATTTGTCAACACACATTAAACGACTTTTTTCAGCAAATAAAGTTACGACATATTTCAGATATGTATACATGAGAATTTTACTTTTGAACCAGTTTGACTCCTGGAGGAACCACTTAATGGCTCCTCCCTCGTTGTAAGTCACTTTGCATAAAAGTGTCTGCTATATTCAAACATGTAAATGCAAATTTGTGAAATATATACTGTCCACAACTAGGGGTGTTTCTTATTTGCTTTGGATAATTATTATTAGTTAGCTAAATATTTGCCGAATGTTAGTTGAAAATACTAAGACTGCTTTAGAAGAAGCCAAAGTCAGTTAAGGATATGTAAATTGACTAACAGCCAACTTTCAGATACATAGCTCTACAAAATGGACCCTGCAAATCCTTTTTACTAACCTAAAGATTTTCAGCATGTCAAAGCTTTGCAGGTTTTGGATTTAAAATGTACTTTGTCTTTGTCTCTGGTGGCTAAAAAGCAACATGCCAGGTTTTGACTCTTGAATTTTTTGGTTCTCAGGTCGTACAATATCAGCCTCAGGGGCCACGGGGCCCTTTAGGGCCTTCCCGAAGTCTCTCAGCGTGGACTTTGGAGGTCTGAGTCATCCTCAGTCCCAGCCTCTGCCCCAGTCTTTGTCACAGCACTCCCAGTCCCAATCACAGCCCATTAGTGTCAACCAGACGACAGCAGCGGTCAGCTTCCAGGACAGGTACGCTGCCGTGTCACAGCTGGACAGTGTCTTCTCTGACACAGGTAAGAAATATACAATATAACTATTCTATATCATTGTATCATTGTGTTGTGTATTATCAGCAGATAAGAATATTGTAATTAAGATTAAAGCAGTCTTTTACAAATATTTTCTCAGCTTATCACCATTGGATTTTTATAGTTTTAATTTCTCTGATGGTTTCCGATTTTATGATGCCTTTCAGCAGTAAAAATATGATCCCCAAAGTCAAATATGATGCCCAAAAGCAAATAAAAAGGATTGGATTAAAACCGTAAAGTTTTATTCTGCCTCATGAATTGTATCAGATTGCTTTGATTTTGCATCATGATTATAGACCGTCATGAAAATCAAATGAGATATTAAATCTAAGTTAACAGTTTTTTAAAACCTACTCCGGCCATTGCCAACCACAAGGACCATCAGTTGAAAGACATTAAAATGCATCAAATAGTAATGAAATCAGCAGGACAGCAGTACGAAGCAGCCACCTGGATTCATATTAGGCTGTAGTGTTTTGTCCCAAATAGTATTTACGTAACTTTCAGAAAATTCAGTCCTGTGTTTATTTGGATATATTGTGTACATATTTGCACATTTTGTGCCAGATACCCTTCCTGACACAGCGTAATATGGTGTTGGTGGCCAGGTGGAATCAAACGCAGAACCTTGCTTTTACGTCTCAGACCAGACGTCTCCTCTTGTTATAGTATGTAACCAAGTAAACATTGTTTGGAATCAGTCAGAGTCACTTGTAGTAAATACTGTTGCCCTTTTTGATCACACCAAACAGATTGTGTTTAGTTTAAATTCACTATGACGTTTATCGAACAAGACAAAACATTAAAACAAAAACATAATTTTCAACATTGCATTACTGTAACATTTTTAATACAATTCAATGTTTGCTCGTTGTCAATAAGGCACACTCTACGTTTGCTTTGTGGTTTCTAACGACTTTATCATTTTAAGTTAACATCTCAGTCTGTACTTCGTGTCCAGACAAAATTATTCCGGTTTATTCTTATCTTAAGGACCTTTCAAGGACCCACATGGAGGACCAGATGTAGAGTTGAAGTTGCATGTGAACCTGTGATATAGATCGCCTCAGTCCCTGCCAGCTCAGCCTGGTTGCGTAACACTCTTATTCCACATGCCACAGCTTTTAGCAGCTGAATTATCTTCATTGTGTTCACCCTCAGAGTGTGCATATTCTGAATTAAAACGCCGTGTTAGACTTCTATATTTGTCCTGTAACAGATTTGTCCAGCGTGTAAGAACCAACCCCCCCCCCCCCCCCCCCCCATCACAGGCTGGTAGGTAGAGAGAGCACGAAGGTGATTGGTTTTCTGCTGCAGCTTGTTGTGATCCAGAGAGTGGTGGTTCAACACTGTGAACTCTTACTCTTATTTTTTCCTGCCCACAGATAACAGTAGCTCTTCATTCCCAAAACTAAGAGGCTTATCAATGCCCTAAGGTGACTTCTACACGTTGAGCTCTTGTTTGCATGTTTTTCAGCACCACCTAGTGGCCCCCCGCAGTACAACGCCATCTTCGGCAGCAGGCACTCGTCCACGTCGACGACGGCCAGGTACAGAAATACCTCGTCTTCTTTGCACATTCCCTCTTTTGTTAGAAACCTTTTGGTTTGTATACATGTGTCCCTGCTCTCCTGATCACGTTATGATCCATATATGAAGTTAATTAATATCGGGCGTCAGAAAGCTTGTGATTTAATGAATGCATCATCTTCCTGCTTTTTCCCAGTTCCCCCAGTGCGGATACAGTCTCCAGCTCCCAATCATTTGCAAGTATGTAAGCAACAGCAACTGTACTCATGTTACCGTCTAATGACCACTGTGTGAACAGCCAGGTCTCTCATTTTCACACCACTTTAACATCACAGTCAAATCAGGCTGCAGCAGTGCAGTAACACAACCTTGAAGTTGTGTTTGTTAGTCAAATTCTGAAAATGAAACCATCCAGATATGATGCTTTTTATACCCTGGCACTTTGCTGCCCCCTCTGTCCAAACAATGTACCTGACGTTAAATGTAAACATACAGTTCAAGTGTGACGATGAGAGAACAGCGTCGGTTCAAACAGACAGGAATTTAACCTGTTAACCCTCACACTGAGAATTATGTCCCCCGTCTCACTCTGTCCTCTCTGTCTGTGTCTCAGATTTCCCAAACCCATTCACGTCCAGTTCCAGCTCTGTTTCCCAGCAGCCCACTGCCCTCTCCCCCAGTAATCCCTTCAGCAACGCCTCAGGAGGTGAGACTCCTGTTCACGAAGCTGCAGACATTTAGACTCTGACACAACACTCCTCTTTGGTAATCAAGGCAAAAACAACAAGTTCTAGTGAATGGAAGGAATGCTGCAAAATAAGGGCAAATGTGTCCTAAATTTAGCCGAGCAGACGGCTAACATTTGGCCAAAAGTCCTTGCAAGCTAGCAGGAAAATAGGCATTTAATTATCCAAAGACAAAGAAGCATGTCATAAATTAGACGAGAAGCCAGAAGTACTGCAAAAAAAAGAACACAAATTTAAAATTAGACAGAAGTTCTTTAGACATAACTAGATGTAAAGATAGGGGATTGCAAAAAGTTGATAGAAAATGTTATATATCAATGTTACAGAATTACAGAAATGTATTCTTATAGACTCATAAAAACATAGTAAACGGCAAATAAGCCTTATTTTTTTGGCTAAATACTGGCCATTTAATTTAGCCAAAAGATAGCAAAGATATAATACGATTTAAATAACATTAGACAAAGATGGCCGTGGTCTTGCCAGTGACATACAGGAGCTAAAAGTTCCCCTAGAAATGCTAAAAATAAGTCCAAATATTTGAACCATTTGTTAGTTAGTCTTCAACTTTCTGATCATTTTTACAAAAAAGTTTTATCTAATAAACTTTTAACCAAAATATGTTAGAAATGAAGCTTATGTTTTCCTTTTTCAATAGATATACAACATTTTGCTGCCATGTACATGTATTGCCTATTTAGGAGTGTTATCACTATGAGGAAAAAAAGGACAATATTGTTCTATGAATAATTTAATACCATGTTGAATAAAGGGGGGGAAATAACACGATATGCAGTGTGTATATGTACCTCAAAAATGTACTCATCAAATTAAGTTCAATCATGAATGTACCACAGTCGATGAGGGCTAATTATAATTCATATGTATTAATAAATGCTTTTATGTTCATTATTTAACCACATCACATGTAAATTCACAGTGATGGTCACTCGGCTCATCTTGTTCCCCGTGGCCTCAGGTTCAACAGGGTCAAAAACACTTATTTACTATTATTTATGTATCTGGATCTGCTCTGCAGGTGACTCCAGTGCTTTCGTGGCCTCACCCACTTCTGTTTTCCCTCCGTCCACTGCCTTCGCCGCACCGGCCTCACAGAGTGCATCTCCTCACGAGTCAGGCTTCAACCAGGAAGCAAACGGTAAGTGCCGTAACCTCTCCCCTAAACATTTGATGTCTCATTTTAAGGTTTTGATGGAAATCTTTTGGGTGACAATGAGCTTTTATTTCACTGTAATGAAGTTCAGTTCAGAGACATAAACTTGTCCTCCTCCAGAGGATGCAGCTGATATAATCTGACCACAAGGAGTCACTGGATATTTTTTAGTAAAGCAACAACTTAAATCCTCCCACTCTAAGAAATACCCTCACAATTTGATAGTGTCCGTTTGATCGGCCTGCAGCCCTCCAGACATTACATATAAGACCTGAGGTACAGTAGAAGAACCTGCTGCATACTGAAGCACTGAAACCTGTGGGACATCAGTGAAACCTGGACTGTATGTGGGATGACTGCAGATCAGGCGTCGATGTGAAGAAGATGAGAGTTGATGACACTCAGGAGTTTCCTTTTTTCCACAGGTTTTGCCTCCTTTCCTGCTTCTGACTCTCAGCCCAAAGTTTCACAGCCGATGTCGGTGAATCCGTTTACTGTGAGTATAATACAACAGAGGTGTATAAATACCTATATATAATTGTATAAACACTGAAATGCTAATTTGACCATTTGTGTAAGGTTTTTTATCTGACTTATATATTTACTTATCTTATGAGTTATGGTCTCAGTTATGTATTTTTTTTTTGTCTAAATTTGACCTGTTTTGTAATAGCTTGTTTTCATCTTCCTTTCTACTCATCTTTCTGCTAACCGTTCGCTATTTCCTTCTTTTTGTTATTATTTTCTGAACTTTGTCATTGAATCAGCTCCTTTTACAGCCTGTTTAATGTACTGTTTATCTTTGAGTCAGTCTTTGTAACAATTATATTCTGGCAAAGTTCTATTAAATCTTTGAGTCAGTCTTTGTAAAAATTATATTCTGGCAAAGTTCTATTAAAACGATAGCTTATATTTAACTTCCTTTAGCTAACAACGTTAGCTCTTTCGTAGGTTTATGAATTCCTGTCTTGAACAAATACGCTTCTTCTTTTAACTGCACAGACTTCTTTAATTAAACAAAAGTTAGGAATGCTCCAGGTGTTAATAATGTGTCCAGTGAAAGTCTTTCTGTCTTTCTTTTCTTTTAGGGAAATGTTTACCCGAGTCGAGGGACGTCGCGGAATCCTTTCATCTGACTCCCTCCTCCTCTCTCTCCCGACTCCTCTTCTCTGTGGAAGTGGAGGGAAGTGAACTTGAGGAGCCGCTGCCATTTCAATGCCTCTGGAGTATTTTCATCCTCAAAGGGAGGGTGTGAGGCTCCTCGTGGGATGTCCTCCCCCCACTCCTCCCTACCTCCTCCTTTAAACCCCTCTGTGTCTGTGTTTACGTGTTTGTAGAGGAGAAACAAAACAAAAAATGTGTGAATGTAGTTTACAGGAATTTGCTGCGTGTGTGCGTATGTATGTGTGTGTGTGTGTGTGCATGTCTGTTTGTGTGTGTGTGTGTGAGAGAGTGTTGGCTTACTGTGTTTGTACCATGAAGAGACAGACGTGTGTGTAAAGACGCCATCTCAGGGCTCAGTGAGAGTCAATGCCTCTGCGGTTCTGGCAGAAAACACACACACACACACATATATACATATATATCCATACAAATATAACACACATACTGCTGCTGCTACTCTGCTTCATCTCCTGCTAAAAAGTGCAAAAAATCCCTCCAGCCCGTCCTGTGAAATGACGAGAACAGCCTTTTATTTTTGTCGTAAATGTTTGTGAAAATGTCTCCGTTCATCTCAGTTCTCTTCCATTTTTGTCCATAATTCTTGTTTCTCAGGCTGCATGCGCTCATAGGGCTAAAAGGAGATGCCGCTGAATGTAAAAAAGCAATTTCAGAAAGAAAAAAAGAACATATTGTAAATGTGCACGATAGATCAAATTCCATGAGTCGCTTCATGTATCGGACCAAAATTTAAAAACTTTATTTTGCTCTTTTTTTTCCAGGTCACATTGAAGTTCATTTCATTTTGCATATAGAAATGTAAAAAAAAAAAAAAAAAAAAAAAAAGAATAGTCTGTTTGAGGAGATTCACGTTACACTGCCTGTGTAACTGCAAATGTTTGTTCATAAAATCTGTTGCTGCTTCTTAAAACCATTTGACTCTGGCTTTTTATTTATGCCTTAAATTAAATTTTTTTAAATAAATCATGATTTTGCATTTTTGTAGCCAACTTCCTGCAGCAGACCTTTTGTTAATTTGCTAAATATTTTAGCAAATTTATCTAATAACTAACTAATTGTTACCTTCTGGCCACTCACATTTTCCTGTGATTATCTTGACATATTTTTAGTTCACAATGAGCATTAGGTGGTCTAACAGCGATGCTAAAATTTAGCTTGTTTAAGATTTGTTCTAGTTTATTATCAACGAGGTCAACTTTTGTTCGATTTTTTGTTTCATATTTATACTAGCCTTCGTGTTTTATTTTCATTATTATTTAAACACACTTGGTCTGTTATGTTTTCCAGATCGCCAGTCAATAAAATTCCGGAGAAAGCTTTTGTGGGACAATATGGGCCACGTTTTGATCATACGAGATAAAATCATAAACCGTGTCTCCTCTAGGGGGCGATAGAACAACAAGGTCCGTTAGAAACAGAAAAAGAAAAGCAGGTGCTGGTCAATATACAGTATGAACACTGTAACTTACACGAGAAGGGCTGAATGGCTCGGTTCCACGTGTTGCCATCCCGCTAATTGGTAGTTTCCTCAACTAAAAGTAAATTTGTTCTTAATAATTTTAGATATTACGCTGCACTTGTAACACATTGTGTTTTAACGATAGTATACAGTTTTTTAAAAAGTGTTTCTATCCTCGCCTACTAGTACGGTTATTAGCTTACTCCGCTAACAGCCGATTCGGTTGATACTTTTTAAATCAACGCGTTTTGTTCCGTATACACAGTCTACACACGTTCGGTAAAGACAGGAGCGTTGAAAGACGAACAGCACTTGATATGAAAAACAAAAACAAAAACCCGTTGGGACACATGCAATGGCAGAGCTTAGCAAATTGATGACTGCAATACTGCATGTGTGCAGCAGGGGGCGCCTGATGCTCACTTGTCTCTGACCTCGTGCTGGAGGTTACTTTTGGATGCGTATTGCGTAACCACATCCATACTGCATAAGCATGGTGTTCAAAGATAGAAACGTCCCCGTGGAGCCGTAAAAAGCTGCTGTCTGACACGTTTAACTAATTCATGATGCTGCAGTACGAGCCCGGTCCAAACTGTGTGGAATCTAAGTCAGTCAATTACATTGAAGTCTTTATATTGTATACTCATTTTTGCTCCGTGGTTAAAATGGGTTGCAGGCAGATGAGGAACAGTGTGACAACGTGCGGAAAGAACAGGCCTGTAAATTCTTTAATAATCCCGTAAAATTCAGATTTGTCCTCCCTTGAAGCCACATTTATTGGAAACAATTATCACAACAGTAGCTCCGTGGTCCCATAAAAGCCTGAAGGCTTCGCTCTGACCTGTGATTCTCCACGGAATATGTTTTTAATTTAACACTGTAAATCACAATCATAAATCAGAACATTTATGGGGATGTTCCCCTGTTTATATCGGAAAGTCTGCGGGGCTTTGTATAAAAAGAAACGAGGCAAATAAATGCATTTATATGAAGATACTGAGAGATGACAGAAGGGGATTTTTACAGTAAACAGAGCAGGATGGAGTCATGGGAGCAGCAACACTGAAATTTTACTCCATACACGCTGGGATTTGAGAGGCCTTCACGTACTCAAGGAAATCATGCTACCAGCGGTTTGAATCCTCAACGCACTCGTCACAAAACCTCAGCCTCGAGAAATTTAAGTTTTTCCATCTTAGGGTGTTGCTTAATCCTTTTCAACTATTCCTATCAGATGTTTTTGGTTGCAATTTCTGAGTTATTTTATAAAAACAGTTTTAGTCTAACTGTTGGGTGGCATTCAGCCATGTTGTCCTCATTGTTACATTTTATATAGTAAACATTTAACATGTATTTCTTGTGTTTGGGTGCATTTTAGGCAAATGCTAAGGGAACAGGCACGCAGGACCAAAACCACAAGGAACATCACACAACCACAATGACCAATGATTCAACAAGGACTGAGTGAGGGAGAGAAGCATATACTGTATACCCAGGGCACCGGGTGACGCAAGTGAGACTAATGACAGGCACAGGTGAGTGTGATGACACTGATTAACTCAACAGGCGGGAAGGCAGACAGACAGACCTCACACATTCATTAATTGCATGTTAACCTTAGCTTACTTTGTTTGTGCTTCATTTATTTCAACAGTTTGTTTTTTTCAGATTTACATATAGATTATTTTAGTTAATTTGGATGCATTTAAGCTAAATGTGCAGCGTTTCTCAGTTGTGTTTAATTTGCGTAAATACTGAAGACAGCCTGAAATGTGAGGTAAAATGTCCTTTATTATGTGATATAAATGCATCTGAAAACTTTAATGGTTTCATAGAGATTTACCATAATCGGTGTGTTATTACATTTGCAAGTCACTCTAAAACAGGGGTGCCAAACATACGGCCCTCGGGCCAAAATCAGCCTGCTCGAGGGTTCAATCTGGCCCCCTTGATGAATTCTGAAAGTAAAAAAAAATACACAAACACTTCATGTCCCTGATGTTTTTTCAAATGATATTTCAATAAATATGAATAGTTTTTAATTTACTTGTCCTTCTGTATGTGGGCCCTGAATCTAAATGACGTTGACGTCCCTGTTCTAAATGATGAATAATATGCTTAGTTACCATTAGATGGATGTAATTATACATGGTATTTGTTTCACTACTTGCTTTCAAACGATCATTTGTCACACATCACCCTGTTGTCACACTTCAACAATGTGCGATTTGTTGCCTGGACTTCAAACAGTGTTAGAACTAAAGTCAGTTGCACTATTTATGACACGGCTGACGCAAACCACATCTTCAGAACGACAGATATGTCACTAATGTACGTGATGTGTTGAATAGCAAACACGTGTATTCATCTATACTTAATCCTGACCTTGGCTCACAGGCAGCTATTGTTGATAATTACTAATTAATTATTCATCAACAAAGGGCTTCAGTCAGACACGCAGATGTTGCTGACAGCTGCTGGAAGAAATTAAACATTTTTAAGTTATTTAATATGTGTAAGTTTATATGAAATATTGCAAGACAACATAGGGTTGCCCAAATGATAGTCACAATTGTTTTTGATTGAAACTAAAGTTACTTTCTTTTGATTTTGTCCATTTTTATAGCACTATAGTCTTCCCAAAGTGCTGCCCTTTACTGGTATAACAACTTTATTACCGTAATCTGTGTTATTATTGTGTCACGTGTGACAAAGTACCACATTTCTGGCAGTTATTGTAATATACTTGCAAACAATAAACTTAATATATACTTCTGTTTATAGCTAAAAGATCCAACATATAAGTCGTACAATAAAAAGCCAAAAGTTGTACAAAATATTAAAATTCAGAAAATGTCTAAATACCAAATATTTGTTCAGGTTGAATTATAACGTTTAATAAACTGAAGTTAAAAATGTGATTGTTTTACTTTGGTTTCTTACAGAATGCTGAGTTTGAGTTGTCCGAGCTCTGGATGTGGTCCATGAACGCACCGCGATGTTCCAGAGTGTGAGTGACAGAGCTGCTGCTCCACGGTAGCTGCTCGGCTCCACTCTTCTCCACTCCACTCCACTCCACGCCGACGCACGGTACCGCCACGGGAGCAGAGGGAGGGCACACGGAGGCGCAGTGTGTGACTGTGTGTGCGTGTCTATGTGCCAAAGGTGCACAAAATGGGCAAAAACCAGCACGGACGGAGCTCCAAAACACAGTAGTAGTTGTACAGGCTGTAGTAGTTAAAGTGCAGAAGAACAGTCGGAGCTCCGAGCTCAGCGTGGCCGCATGTGCTCGACCCTGCGCGGCTGCAAAACTTGCGCTGCACTGCTCGTTTCTAAGAAGACTGCACCAAAACAACCATAAAACGACAAAAAGAAGAAAGAAGAGGAATGTTACCGTGAAGTCCGTGTTTACAAACTAAAGTGTGCTGCAGGTGTGACGGGTTCCTGCCTCATCCCTACATGCTCGGGTGGACGTGGGAGAGAGGTTCGGTCGAGCTGTAGGATGTTTAAATGACTGGAAGTTTATTGAAAAAATACCCAAAACAGAGAAAAACAAGTTTTTATTGTTAAGTGCAAGTCGTGGAGGTGACATGGATGGACAGGCTTCAGAAGAGGACGTCCGTAAGAGCGGATACCTCCGCAAACAGAAGTCCATGCACCGGCGGTACTTCGTGCTCCGGGCCGCCTCAGAACGCGGTCCGGCCCGGCTCGAGTACTACGAGAGCGAGAAGAAGTTCCGCGGCAAGGCCCCTGTCCCGAAGAAGGCGGTGGCTCTGGAGACGTGCTTCAACATCAACAAGCGGGCCGACTCCAAGAACAAGCACATGATCGTGCTCTACACCCGGGCGGAGAGTTTCGCCATCGCCGCGGAGAACGAGGCGGACCAGGACGAGTGGTACCAGGCCATGGTGGAGCTGCAGTGCAAAAGTAAGGACCGGAACCGACAGTCTTAACATGCACTCACACACTCACTCATCTCTCCCTCTCTCTTACACACACACACACACACACACGCTCGTATGTGTGCACACAGCCTGTGCTGCATGATGTTGTGAAGGAGCAGAAACGTGGCAAACTGCACAACATGACACTTCATTGATTAAACCACTGTAATAATAACAACAATGTTCACTTTCTGTGTGTGTGTGTGTGTGTGCTACAGGGTGGTGTCCTAGAGTTAGTTTACTGACAGGAGTGTGTGTGTGTAAACACTGGATCTTATCCTGTCCACCACGGAGCAGCAGCGGCCCTTATCACTCTGCTCTCACACTCCATATTGGCTTCTTAGAAAAATGAACAGAAAAAAGAACTGTTTGGGTTCATGTCTGTGTCCCACAGCTGTGGTCACTTCTTTTTTTCCCCCAAGAACTCAACACACACACACACACACACACACACACTGGCTGCATGTTGTTTTCGGACTGTTCTGCTGACTGTGCAATATTACATAAGACATTGATCCTTTAAATGCTGAATCAAATAAGGAAGCAGTGCTGGAGAGTCACAGGTGCAATATGTTGTAACTTTGCATAAAAAAATCTTTGACTGAAATATTTGACTTTATTTTTAGCTGGGAACTTGTACAAACTAATATTGTTAATATATTTAACTTTCATTTCAGGTAACAGTTAAACAAGATATATTTGCACAATCATTTTGGAACATAGTCCCAACCTTACATTTGGCAAGGTTTTTCTGTTGTTGATTCAGTTTCTTGGACGTTAGCTTTTTGTTAAGCACAATGGAAAACGCATGGCATCAAGCACATGGCTCTGAATAAAGGTTTTCAAACTCAAAAGTCATTCAAATTATTTTTTAAGAAGAAGAGGAAAACTGCAGCGAATAGAATGTTCTCTGTGCTGTGATGTAGAATCACCAATTTCCTCACGGAGGTTTGGCCAGAAGAGAGTGTAAAGTTGCCAGATCGCACATACAGAACATTTATAAATACACTGTTTTTGCTTCAGTCCCCCATTTCTGCCTGGGGAATTTTAGTTAATTAACTGCTAACACTTTTGCACCAAAGTGCATACAAAAAAGGAAGTGCGCTGCACAAGAGCTGCTGATCGTCTGCTTCCTTATTTTGTCTTATTTTTGTCAGTGGTCTCCAACCTCCGGGCCACAGACCGATGCCGGTCCATGGGTCAGTTAGTACAGGGTCGCACAGAAAAAAATGCACAACTTACATGATTTCCTTTTTATTTATTATCTGATTCTGAACGATGTTTTACTTACTTAGATGTCAATCATGGTTGCCTCGGTCACATGTCTTACCTACATCCATCTGCCTTGTTAAAAGGTCTGCTGCGGCCGGTAAGACATAATACATTACCGCTAAATGAAAACCCAGAGCTAGCAAAATGAATAGAAAACAAACGTCTCCGGAAAGTTTCATAGCGCAGGGTAAAAGAACCAATGAGGAGACAGAAGAGCCTACATCTTCAAAGAAAAAGAAAGCTGCATTTAACAGACAATTTCAGAAGTCCAACCTAAAATATGGATTAATCAGCACCAAACTCCACAGAGAAAAGTGACAATTTAGTACATTGAACACTAAAATGTCACTTTTTAGTGACATTTTAGTGTCACTGTTGCTGCAACGGTTTTGCACCATCGTGTCACTCAAGGTGAATTAGAATGAAAGTTTTCAAACAGCACAGTCCAGAGCAACACAACTCTGACAAATAGATGAGGCTGAGTGTTAACAACTGCTGTGTCCTAAATTTCCTACATGGCGTTTGGTATTGGTGTCATGATCTTCAGTTTTAAGAAATAAAAGACCGCGTAAAAAATAAAAAAAGGAAACATGTTTTCTGAGAAATCCAGGACTTTTTAATCAGGTCAATTTTTTTTTTTTGTGGCTAAATTCAGTTCTTTCTTTGTTCCCTGGTGGCAGTGAGTCTCCGTGTCCCAGGCCGATTGTCAGGGACAGTAACAGCACATTCCGTAAAGTGCTGACAGTGTGCGAAGCCTGACCTTATGCGTCTGACATTTTATTTTTCTGATCGACTTGTAATGTGTAAGCAGCTTAGTGTGTCCTCTGAAGTGGATTTGTCCAAATTGTCTTCATGTGGATACTTTTTCCACGTGTGTGCGCCTGGCAGTGTGTTCTCAGACGGCGTCTATCACCCTCTGTGTAAACACAGCTGTCCCATCAAAAAGTGGTGAGCACAGCAACTTTGAATCACCTGTTCAACCTCTCTCTGGAGGGAGAAGTCACAGTCCAGAGGGCACTGGTGACGCAATCACGGTAAACAAAACTCAAGGTGCTTATCACACACGACCCGCCGCAGCCGCTGTGTTACATAAAACGGCCGATGACGATTAGGGAGGGAAGTAAAACGCACACCTGAGGAGAAAAGAACGAGGCCACCGTGCTCCTATTTTGAGACGTCTGGGTTTTAAACCACAGAGGACAGATTTGGCAAATTCAAAGATTGCAAGAAGCTGCAGACTGCCAGTAGGTGCATTAGGGGAGTCTCATGTAACTGCAAATTTTGGACTTGGTGTTGTGGCTCCCCCACACTCATCTGTTGCTTCAGCACAACTGAGGTTTGTGTACGTGTGTGTGAATCCATCTTTGCAAGTATTTTGCGAGTTTCCGCGAGACAGGAAAGTGAATAGACAGATGTCGGCACAGACAGAGATGCTTGAGGGCTAGTGAGAAAGAGACTCTCTAACTTTTTCCCCAGTGGATTCCCAAACGGAGAAGGTTTCCAGGGTGTGAATTATCCCATCCACAGTCGCTAAGTGTTGCTTCCGGAAAGATTATACCTACTGTTTTGTCTTTCTATGAGTTGTAGTAGAAACACAAAACTCCTTTTATAAAGACACAGTCCATGATTCATCACATTACAACCTAAAATAACAAAAAGACACATTGTGCTAAAATTATAAATTTTGCTTTTGGGATGCAAGAAAAAGTACTGGAGAAAACCCCTCAAAAACCTTCAGAAAGTACACAGAAACACCATTGTCTGAGCCAGGGTGCCACCTAATGACAGGGTCAGATATTTGCAAGGGCTCCAGGCAAAAATACCATTAAAATACCAGAGTTGACCCTTGTAATTACCATGATAGGGGGTTTTATTCTGCAATAAATTATAAAATAAGAGTAGTCAAAGACTTTTTTGTAAGTAAGCTCAAGGGGAAATTAAAACGCCTAAGTCAAAGACTTAGTTTTTTGCAAGTAAGCTCAAGGGGAAATTAAAACG